GCACACGGTAAAGTTACCAATCTTTAAATTCTAATTACCATCTAACAGATTAGATACAAATAACCTTACCACCAATTAGAGGTACATAAAAAAGAAATTACTTTTGAATTGATATTTGAACGTTGAAATAATTTCACATAAATTTTTATACTTTACTGTACGTACACAGGGCGTCTAGGTACGAGAGGCAGTGATTCTATTTAATGCAAATATAAATGGAAAAAAGTGGAATAAAATATCTTTGAATAAATTTTTTAATTAACTCGAAGTTTGCCCCGTATATCTTCTGAGGACGACGTTGTCCTCAATTATTCCGTTTCGTTCGGACGCGAATGAACTTTCATAATCCGTCTAAATTATCTGAAAGAACCGACGTTGGAAGTATTTCCTTTGCTTGTCCATTCGTCAGCATTATGGCCAAAGTATAATTTCAGGTCGGGCTTCAAAAGATCGTCTGAACGCGACGCGGGCGTAGGACGGTGTAGGCGTTAGTTGCTTCCAAGGGTCGTCTGAGTACCGATGCCACTCGGTGCACAGATTTTATTATCTGAAAACTGAAACTCTTCTCTACTCTCTTGTCCATTGGCAATACTTATCGTATGTATTGCGAGGGTAAATTACAAGGGTTAAGAAACGAACGATCGAAATGACTGTAGCTATAATTCGTCGCTAGCTTTCTGGACGGTATAGAGTAGGTTTATTGGCAGCGTGGCGAGTTATCGGATTGGCTTGAACGAGCCTATCGATCCCTTCGTTTCTATACTCGAGGCAACGGGACGTCAACGTCCACGCCGATGTTCTATGTCTATGTCTATGCCGTCGTCATTGTCTGGTCTCGGCCGACGTCGTCGTCGTCGTCGTCGTCGTCGTCGTCGTCGTCGTCGTTGACACTGGCTGCGTACACATGGACGCGTGATAAAGTAATCTGAATTAATTGGCCTCTAATTAATTAATGCAAATCACCGAGCCAACTCGCTTCGAGCCGCCAGACTAATGATCATTTACGTTACGGCCGAACACGCAGCGCCGTGTTCTCGTTCCCTTGGTTCACCACCCTTGGCCGGCTTTACGAAAGAGGGGTGAGATGACTCGAGGGCCAACCCCTTCTCTCTACCCTACCACCACCACCACTACCACCGCCACCACCACTGACACCAGTACCCAGCGTTTTTCTCTTTTTAGGCTGAGCAAAATAGCGCACACGTACGTACGTACGTACACTCTCGTCCATAAGTCATGGGACACCTTAACACTTTCGAATAAATCTGAGTTACATTGTGTATTTCATTATTTAATTCACATGCGTAATTCACTTCCTAAGTGTACTGTTAAAATATAAAATTAGTGATCTATATTAAAAGAAAGCATCTAGAAAGTAACCCCGAAAATATTTACCGAAAGATTGCCAAAATTAAGGAGCGTACATGAATGATGTGTACCATTTTCAATATATTTCAATATTTTTAGTATACATTTAGTATATGTTGGTCTGCGTTAAATACAGGTACATCCCGCCTAAAATGACAAGGTGTCCCATGACTTATGAACGAGAGTGTACGTACGTACGTAGGTACGTACGAAATGTTGGGCGGGTGGGCGAAAAGGGTGCCGCCTAGCACGGGGATGAGCGGGCTGGTGGAAAGGGGTTGAGCTCTTGACATATTGCTACCTAGGCAACTCGACGAAGTGCTCTTCAGCCTCCCTCTGCCTCCTCCTGTCTTTCCTGCTTCGTTTCTCGCGTACCCTTCCTTACCCCTCTCGGCTCAACTCGGTTCGTTCTTTCTTCCTACCATTTTTTTTTTTTCACCCTTTCTTGTTCGGTGCACTCTCTGTTCCACGGCTGGGCCACCAGTCTGCAGCGAGGTTCGGTCGACGTTGCAAGTCTCTCGACGAAGAAATAGAAAGAAACGTGCACGCGTTCGTTTCGTCGATCGAGAAAATTCGCGATACGAATCCGCGAGTTTAGCTGGTTGGAAAAAGCGTCGTATACTCAAGGGGTTGCTTTCTTCGCAGCATCGACAACCCTCTAATCTCGTGATTGAACGAAACTGCAACGATGGAAGCTCTCGAAGAAAACGATCGACTTTGGATATTTTTAACGTTTCTACGCAGAGCCGCGGCTCGAATCGCGTTACAACGATGAAATAATTACGCTCGGCCGTGAAACAGCGTTCTCGACAAAGGAAAGACTCCTTTCATCGGCAACTGTTCACTTATTAAGCGCGGCGCTGGCGAGAAGGTAAAAATAAATTCGCGTTTGAAAAACTGGGACGCCCGAGGAACGGGATATCATTGGATCGACGATGTGTGTCGTTGGACGGATCCAAGCGGCCGTTTCTGACCCCGTGTGGAAAAGTCAGATTTATGTAGGACGTTTAAGAGTACCTTTTAAAGAACACAGATTCGAAATGTGATGGGAAAGGTGTGAACGATGAGTGTGAATATGAAAAAAGTGGCAGTGATCGAATTTACGTATGTGTTACGTTTCCTCTTCAGTCGCTGATTTATTTTTCAAATAATTCTGGAGATAATTTGCAGGTAAAATCTTCAAACACTGTTCCGTTATACCGGGTGTCCCGTAAACTGGTGGTACAAGCGAGTAGGGGGTGATTCTACGTGCAAAATTGAATTGAAAATGTAGAATACAATTTTTTCATATGATGCTTTATTTTCGAAAAAAATAAGTTTGAAAATTTGTCGAGTGCGCGTGCACTTGGACCAGCTCCAGCCTCAGTAAACATTGCAAGAAGCATGGAAGTACTCTCCTACTCGGAACAGTAAGATAGTAAAATTCGTCGAACTGAAGCTAAATCAAGTACACGCGTACTCAATAAATTTTCAATATGAAAAATTTTTATTCTACATTTTCGATTCAATTTTTCACGTAGAATCACCCCCTACTCGCTTGTACCATCAGTTACGGGACATCTTGTACATAGTGTAGACGTAGTTTAATGGTTTGAAATTATGTAAAGAAAAAAATAATCGATTTTTCGACTCGTCAAACGTTGTTCCTCCTTAATTTGCCTCTGAAGCGACTCTTATCCGCTCGATTGCTCCTCGACCAAGAGCAAAACAGCTTCCACGCTCTCTGGTAAATCGCAGCTGATTCGCTGATTCGTTGCCTAACGCGAGCAAACACGTATTCATTTGCAACGGTGTGTCCTCGGTTCGCGGATTAACGGAATACGGGCTCGCGGGTCGGGATTGGTTTCATCGAGTAATGATAATGGGCAACGATAATTGTGCAAACGCTGGCGTGACCGAAAGTATCGATTCATCGGTGAACAGACCGTCCCTGGACCCTCTGCTTTTGTTCTTCTATAATTTGCCCGATGCTCTTCGTATAACTTATTCTTTCTCGTCAGAGAAAAATTGCTACGTTCTACTTGTTCCACGTTAAACGAGTTCGCTGATTTTGACCGAGTTCTGTTTATCGATCAAATTCATCAGTATTTCCAAAAGTTTTCATATCACGGACCAACAGACCGATTGCCAGCTCGAGGCCCCCAAAGGCTGTTAAAAAGAAACGAACCACGTTGGATGAAAGAGAAATTTATCAAAAAAGACGAAAAGCGTGTCCATCGTAAGCAGAGGCTGTAAAGTGCAAAGAATATCAGTCGTCGAAAGCCTGATGGGTTTTAATCCCCCGTTGACTTAGCGACATTGAAAAGCTGCCTCTCGTAATTTAACGCCGAACAGAATCGTCCTTGTGTCCTTGCTCACGCCATTATACTTCGTACAATAATACGCACGAATGGGCATGGAAAGTGTTATCGATGGGAACCGGCATGGGCATTGTTTTATGGTTTGTTTCTAAATGGTCCATCCATCACGCTTTATCTTGATGGAGTATTCCGTCCGCCTATTCATCCTTCAAAATGTTCCACAGCTCGCTAATTATTAGCCGTAGCGTTTATTGTACGGGTCGTCCGATGAATAATCGTCCCGAAGAATACGCTTTTCCCTTAACTTTGGACTCGCTTTTCGAAACTTGCCCGCTTCGAATACTCGCGAGAAGAAGAGATTCTATCGCTCCATCGCTTCGATATCGATGGAACGAAGAATTTCGCAATTAGAAGGTCTCGATATTTTCGTTCCTTGCTACGCTATTGTATCGTTTACGGATCTGCCTGATTTAATTTAACGTTACCGAAGGAAGCAGACAGAATTTGCATAAGAATTTACCTCGAGGCGTTGACTTCGTTAAAGAAGACTCGACGGTACGGATAACGCTCGTATAACACGGAAACTCGGGAAAATTGTTACGTGCGAATGTGGATTTTTCAACACGGTACCTCGTTCCAGCCAATCCTGTTCGAGAAATGCAGCATGCGTGAAAGGGTGTCGCCTCGAACGAGTCGCGCAACCTACTGATCCACGGGAGTACGCGCGTTTTTAAGAATTGCAAATTGAAGCTTGCACCTCTGCTTACACGTTTCAATTAGCGTGGTAACTGGTTGACTTCCTATAGATAATTTCCTATTAATATCCTCGCTACAAGCGGTGACCTGGATCGATCAGTTCCAGGACTCTTTCCTTCTCCTCGCTCTTCTCACTCGTTCTCTCTTCTGCGGCGCTATGGATTATTTTAGTTACTGCAACGATTTAACGTGCCACCAGATCGAAAAAATTGTTCGCAACCATTCGACCTCTTTTCTAACAACCGATACCATCTCAGAATTGTCATCGATAGGTAACATTAGAAATTTATAACGTCTACACCTGCAACTCTGCTTCGTGCCAAAAATGTTTCCAAGTCTTCGAGCTTCGGAAGAGAAACGTTTTTAGAAATATTCTCTCGATCTTCCTAACGATTCTAAAGTCCCTGTGAAACAATCGGAAGTTTCTCGAGTCGACGAAGCTCCTGGAATCCTTAAACATTTTCGAAACCTCTGAGATTCCCGGCTGGAGGAGTTGGCTCGTCCACGAAGCCCGATAATAGGCGAACCGAAGAAACACGAGGCTAATCAAGATGGTGCGATCGATTGTGGTTTCAGGTAATATGGGTGTGCATCCTTTGTCGCAAGAAGCAAGAACTGCTGTCGAAGACCGGACAATGGATGTCGAAGGCGGGACTCGCTGCCGGGGACAACGCGATGCTGCGACGGATGCAGGACATGCAGGTGGGTGGTCCTCCGGGACTCGTGGACCAAACTCAGGATAAAAGACCGAAACTCGAGAGAGCGCACAGCGCGGCGGAAAAGGAGAATTTGCCATTGTTACTAAGGAGCGGAAGTCTGCTCAGAAGACAGTACTCTCAGCAAGAGCAAGTACGATTTACTTCATTCACTTAATGTTCGAACCACGGGGACTTGACCGGTCCCCGTGGTCGTTAATAGCGCTCGTGCACGCACTGTTGCTCTGGATGTGCAAAATAAATATGACAAATACAAGCTGCAAAACTGCTACGCTAACGAATTCGGTCGAGGCAAGTCGATGTTTTTTTTGGTATTACCTCACTACTGCATCTCACCATTTTCTCATTCACCATGAATCCTCGCTGTTGTAGCTTTGGACAATCCGCTTGTCATTTTTCTTTTTCTTTTTTTTTTTTTTTTTAATCGGTAATTCTCCTCTATATTTAATAGACTCTGTGTTGCCTCATGCTTTTGTACGCGCATTCCATTAGCGATCGATTCTGCGCAGCGTCTTGTCCAAAGGTACAGATACACACACAGACACGTTTCACCTCCAATTGCATCATATCACCACATGCTGATGAAACGCAACGATCGCACCCTTGTCTGCATCTATCACTGCAACCACCACATGCGACGAATCAGAGCCGGCTGCTGATTTATCGTACGAGAGATGGACGTTTTTCCTGACGATTGCAGGGCCCGGGGCGACGATTATCCACCAGCGATAGCGGGGTGGATATGTCCGTTTCGCCTCATTCGAGAAGTTTGCCAACCCCGCACGTAGCTGCTTCTCATCAAATTCAACAACCGCCGAGACATCCGGACGCGTACGCCGAGGATGACCCGAGTTTGTACAGAGGCGAGATCGACGGTCTTATGAAACAGCTCAACTACCAGAGACAACGACCGATCTACACGGTGAGTCGCGGACCGTGCTTTTCATCGTTGCTTCGGCTTTCACGTCGGATCGAAGCTTGCCCGATGACGTTAGCACTCGAGAGTGACTTGGAAATTAAACATTCAACAAGTATACGAGCTGCGAGCGCGTAGGAGCGGACCGTTAACGATATTCTTACGTAGGCGGTGCTCGAGGAATCTCTAGACGAGTAGCTTCGGCAGGATTCGTGAAATAAAGTTGGCGAGAGTAGAGAAGGAACTTCTGCGTTCTATTTAGCCATGGGTTAATCATATTTTCTGACGTGTAAATTATTTTATTATTAGGTTTTATCTGATCAGATTTAATTCGTATTTTTCGTGTAACTTGGATCCTGATTTTCAGGATCAGAATACGGATCTCGCGATGACATATGGTCAGCCAACGGTAGAAGCCGGCCCACCACGTAGCGCGGTGCATCTTCCTCAGCAACATTCGGTGCATCAAACGCAGAGCGCGCACCCGCCACAACCGGTGGGTGGACAGGGTGGTCTTCAGCCTCAAAGAAGCTTCAGCAGCAGCGAGGAAGAACGAAGCACACCCGAGTGTGCCAGCGACGAGCCTGACGAGTCCGAGAAGGGTGAGTCCATGTTCGATATTCCTTCTCTATTCTCTAACTTATAACGTCGCCGATCAATACGAATTTTGAAATCGCGATCGATCGTGTGGCAAACGATTTCCTTCGAGTAACCGGGAACATGGGTAATCGTTCTCCTCGATCGTACTACACAGTTTTTCTTTTCGAAGCTCTACCGATCGTTCTTTCTTTCTGTAAGTATGATTTTTATCTACGTAATCATCTAATGAACATTCGATTAATTAAGATTTCTTGAAAAGGTTGTTTAATTCGAGAACGATCCGCGCCGTGATTTAAAGATTAAGTACGACGACTCGCGGAGGAAATGACATCCTGTTAATGATACATTTTAGTAAATAATATAAATTCGAAATTCAAACGTCTAATTTCAGTAATTAATTCGTTACTCTTTCGAAATGTCACATCCTCGCAGCGCCATTCGTATAAATTTAACAGCGACACGGTTTGAACGTCGTGGCCAGCTTCTAAATCGATGAAGAAAATCGTCTACGACGAAGACGCTAAGGGAGCTAGCTGATCGGTAGGGTCAGCTTTGCCCTTGAAACTCGCTGCACGAGCAGAGTGCCACGGGCTTTCCGTGTCACCAGACAATTGGTTTACGGAGAACGTGTGCACCTGTACCGCGATATTTACAGGCGAGCCGGCGAAGGAAAGTGTAATCGACCGATCCGATGCTCATGCAGTCTAAAAAGCTCCTCGTTAAACCCTACGTACGCGCGTGTTTACAAAGCGATTAACGCTCCACCCGCCCTGGCTACAGGAGCTCGTTCTAGTAAATCACGAAGCCAGAAGCTCTCCTACAACGTGGTAGGACGAGCTATCCTACAACCTATTAAGAGGTAAAGATTCAATTCTTTAATATCAATCCGAATGGCCATCTTAAAATTTCGCTTCTGACCTCGAACAACTCGTCCACAATTGATAGGTTGAAATTAAAATCGAAATTTCGACCTGGATGGTACAGTGGCTCTCTGTTGGCCCGTTTGAAGCTGGAACGGAAAGAATATCCGCGTGAATGGGATGTTTGAAATAGGAAAGTAGGTCTGCTCCGCGCGGTCAGATCGCCTCGAATGGGGCGGTGGATGAAAAGCGATAACGCGTTATCGCGAAGGCGCCGGCGCGAGTGGAAGCGTAACCGGGTTCCTCCTTGGCTAATGAGTAAATTTAGGTTACCACCGTTAGCTGGATCCGCCTCGTTCTACAGCGTACGCGTTCCACCGTGTTCTAGAGAATCACTCGACACACAACCCGATGCTTTTTATGCGACGCATTCGAGCTTTCGGTTTCGAGGAGCGGACGAGGGACAGAGAATACGCGTACGTGCTTCACAGTTGATTAGCGATGAGATCGGCGAACTGTGAACCGATTCACCGAGGTGCGCATCGTCATCATCATCATCATCGTCGAGAGAGAAAGAGATACATCATCCCCCTTGTACACACATCCGCGTGTCCTCGTTCGTCTTTGCTCTCTTTCCATTGAAGTTCTCCTTTTTTTCTTCAACACTACCGACCTGCTACTCTTTGCTTCTAACAAAACGGCTTTTCTGAAATTTCTAAACGTACAGGACGGTGTAATGATAATGGATACATGTTTTGTTTGTTCATTTATAAAGCGAAGGGGTTTAGATTATGGGATTGATTCTTTATTCCACAGAAAGGCGTGAATAAATTTGAGATTTTCTCTGTTATTCGCTGGAAAATCTTTACTAGTGAATTTTCTTCCCAATTTTTCCAATCCCCTTCTCGAGTATAGACTCGGCCAGACACGCGTGGACTGCTGATCGGCATCCTAGCTATCCTCACAACCGGTAAGTCCTTGATCGAATCTTCATGATCGTGTATCGTGGCGTATCGCGCGGTATCCTGCGGGAATTCTCGAGTTCTGCCCTCCCTCGGTCTCGTCGTTGCATTGATTCTTGCTATCCTCTTGCGTTTCCCTCTCCACCCTACCTGTGCACCCCTTATCCTACCGTTTTACGTAGTTTTTCGTTCCTCCGTCTCGCGTTTATTTTATACCAAAGTATTTTTCATTTTCTTTCTCTCGGTTATTCCATTTTATTAAATTGGCGGTGTGGGTTAATTTACGCAGCGCTCAATATGTTAATTATCTAACCTATGATATACTTCTGTTAATACGTTTCCCCGCTAGTTTCTCAATCTTTTGTTGTATCCTTTCATCCTCCGTTCTTACATCTTTCAGAAATAATTTTCCTACCCCAATTTTCCTCCCCTCGTTCGCTCTCTATTCCCGTACCACCCTTTCCAATCCATCCCGCTCGTTCGCGACGCCCACACGGTTGTCGTGACGTCATGCGGCCAACACGTGGGCGAATTCAAACATCTGCCCGTTTGCTATTTCCGGGCTGGTCTCGGTGGCAAACAGAAGCAGAAAGTAACGACGGTGGAAAACACCGTGCTCCTTTGAGGCATCCATTCATTCGTCGAACCCTTTTCGACGACACGTTCCTCGTCTCGTCACGGCTTTGCATAAATGCAGCCGGCTTGTACGTGGTGCACGTAGGTGATCCTTGCTTGAATAGATCCTTCACGGTGCTCGTGTTTACGCTGCTCGTCGTTTGCTTCTTCGAATCGATTTTCCTCTCGAGCTCGGTCCCTCCCTCCAGGGGGTTGGGCAAATTTTGAGCGCAAGCGGATTCTGGATGAATATGAAGTTGCAATTTCTTTGGGGTCGCTGAATTTGTTAGCCAATTCCCCCCCCCCCCCCCCCCCCGTTGGCACCGTTCTGCTGTCTCGAATGGTTGGAACAATGGAATCAAGAATGTAACAGCCAGGGAAATCGTGTTTGCCTTCGCGTACAAGTGAAGTGACTTTCAAGAGGAATCTTCAGTTTGTTAACCCTCCGACATAGAATATTTTGTCGCTTCGTTTCGTTCGAAAGATGTTATTCAAGGCTCGAGCACCTTTCCTTTAATTCTTAACACTCTCGCAACCATCACGGTGCAGATCGTATCCGAATTGACCCTCGTTACTTGCCGTGTCACGGGAATCTCTTGAAATTATGATGAAGATGTCAGGGATGGAAAGATCGCTCGGAAAACGACTGCTAAATCTTGCATCCATTCCGTCGAGATAGACCCGTCAAAGAGAAAGCATCCATCGAAGGTAAATACGTACAAAATTATGGATCGATCGGTTAAGATTGATGCTAGAAGCTTTCGAGGATAAGTGATTATCGAGCTGAAGGGAACACGAGAGTCATCGACGTTCCCTTTTCATTATTTGTTCTCCCCGAGCATCGAGCCGAGCGCGGATCTTTTTCCTTCAATTTTTCAAGGGAAATCCATCCGATGCGAAACTACAGGGAAACCTAACGTTCGAGTTACCCGGTATTCCTTTTCCGATATACCATATCGAACGACTCTTTGTGCATCGACCTTCGGGACATGCCCGCGGTACAGACTTTTCCTTCTCGTCTGGCTGCTTCATCGAAATTTAATCCCAACATACTGATTTCATGCTAGCGAACCACTGGGACCCTGGATCCAAGTTCTCTTTACAACCTCGTTTACCGGAAACTTCAAGAGAGTTGAATCCTGTCAACCCTCCAGTCTTTATCTTACTACGCAACTAGCATCATTGAAATATCTTCAGGATCAAGTTAAATCTCTATGTTTAAACGTTACTCGATGACGTTAAAATGATGAAAATTCTTATCCCATGGTTCTACAAAAAATAATTCTCTAATATTCAGAAACTTTCCCAGAATCGCTGATTAACGCTGATTATAATAATTCTCCGGGTTGTCTCCGGGCTGGTTAACGAAGCCAGATTAAAAGCTTACAAAACACGGCGCTGGTGTTAGGAGGAGCCGGAATCTGGGAACCGCGACGGTATAATCGTACGCGTTACTACTTACTCGTGCACCTGCCCTCCGCGTTCGCGGGACATTAGTAAGATAAATAAGTATTTACCCGCAGCAAATCGGAAGTAGCAAAAAAGGTACAAGAAAATGTTGCGTATACACAAGTTTAGACGTTAATGCGTTAAAATATTCAGGGAGGAAAGTTTGAAAAAGGACGAGCCAACAGAGATTCAAACTACCTCGGTAAGAATTGTTACCGAACCAGTTAATAATAATTTCAAGCAAACTGTTGTACAAGTTCTTTAGAAAAAGAATCGTACGTTCTTTTCGTAGTGTAGTTAATAAAGGAGCAGAGGATCGGTAGGTCGATCGCACGGTCCAGGATCGCATAGGTTGATCCTGACACGAGATAAACGCGAGTAGCAAGATAATCGAATGCAAATCGCATCCGGGCGAATTTATACTGTTAAGAGGATCAGCGTGGCAATTAGCGAGACAGGGCTCGCGGTGTACGCGAGTTAGCAACGTGCCGAGCGTACGAGCGTGTACCAATACACAGGCTCGTTCGTTCGTTCGTTTGTTCATTCAAGAGAAAGAGAGAAATAGAGAGAAAGAAAGAGAGAGAGAGAGAGAGAGAAAAGTGACCGGCTCGGTCGGACGGCGTTGTTGCTCCCATTCGTAGATGCACACAATACAATTAGAGACTAGAGAATTAGTTTGTAGAAGTTCGAGAGGTAAGTCCGTTACGCGCGCTCGCAGATCGCAACTTCCCTTTAACGAGGATTTGCAGAGAAACGGCCGAGCTGCTACGTCCACCGGATCCCCAGGCGAACGAGGAGAACCGAGGGGCGAAGGATAAATTGTCACGGCCACGCTTTGGCCTCTCATCGAGCCTGCTCCGCCTTTGATTACCTCTCCTTTGACAGTTTCCGTCCGGTTCAAGTCCCTTCCCCCCCCCCCCCCCCCCCCACTTTCCGTTCACGTTAAAATTCTATTAAACAGATTTTAATTCGTTTTCAGGAGCGACGTGTGTTCCCGGAGAGACTTCTCCGTAGATTAAAACCTTTCCGTCCACCCCCTATATTCCTGACGTCACTACGCATCCCCGGCACAGAAAGCTTCGAGACACGTTTAATATACTTAATACAAGACGAGTTACGGATGTCGTAAGGATCTTGGACGCTTAATCGCGAATGGCACGGTCGATTAAAATATTTACCACCCTTATGCGCGCGGAGACGAATCCTCGATCCTTGCGATTCGTGGCGAATCGATCTTGAAGTTTCCGTGTTTCAAACCCTCCTCCTCTAAGAGTCTCGTTCGTCCTCGAATCGAGACGTTTGATAGAAAATTTATTAATTTTTTATAATACGAGCAATTGATTGCGATGGAAATTCAAGTATCACTCGCGTATCAGTGACATGGTAATTAACGTGTTAAGCACTCTTTAATTGGCTTGTTTTATAGTAACGAAGTTCGCGGTGGATTATGCAAAAGATTCTCATCTTTCGGAATATCGATTACAGACACGCTTCGAATCATGAATAATTGAACGGAATCGTTCATTAATTTCAACCAGTGCGAGAAAAGTGGTGGATTTTTATTACGAGTCAGAGTATAATATCGAAGACGTCGTAAATTTCGTACGTAAATGTATCGTCGTGTACTAGCGATGCAGATAGAATGTTTCGGTTACGTAAGAAGGGACGCTGGGCGTCTCGCGTGGCGATCGTATGGCCAATTTGTCGGCCTTACGATGCGTGATCCCTTACCTGATTTGCAGCGACGAACGAGGCGATCTCTCCTTTTTTTTTCCTCCCTCCGTCGAAGGCCTCCTCCTTTCAGAATCGACCCAGATCGAATTCTCGAGCCCGGGGCGTATCGTTACGAAACGACGACTTACTTCTTGCGTGTAGCGAGAACACCAGACACTGCCTGCAAATGTATTACGATTACCATTAGCAAAAACACAGTGTTCGATTGTTAAATAGCGCAGTTCTCATAGCAGTGACCAATCTTTTTATTTTTTACGTTTTTCTTTTTTTCTTTATTCTTCTTTCTTTTTGTCCACCCCTAATATCTGTTATGCATCGAACCGACATAGCATATAGATAGCCAGTGTGTTACGAGAACAACCCGTTAAAAGAGCAACCCCTTAAAGAACCAAATGTAGCGAAAGTTTGCGAAACATTTTTCTTGCGAACATGCATCGTTTACACAAACAGACACGAATCTTTTCCACGGGAATTTATTCGAGTGATCGTGTGGCTCGATGATATTCGTATAATGATATCGTGCGACGAGGGTGGGGGTGATAGCTCTTTATTCTGTTTTTAACTTTAGCGATAAGAGAATCATCGTGCATCGGACGCAACATGTGTGGCTTAAAGAGAGATCGGATTTTAGGGGATAAACCGCCGTCCATGGTGGTGACTTCCAGGAGCTCGAGGGAGAAGCCCGGGGACAGAATGAATCGTCAGTTTCTCGCGGTACCTACTAATTTTCTCAAATGCAAATAAGGCAGTTCGTTTTCTGCTATATATATATATGAACCGAACGCATACACATATATATATCTACCTAAATATATATATATATTATATGTATATCTCTGCGTATGCGTGTGCATGTGTGTGTACGTCATCTGCCGACCGGTTGCGAACCTATCGATTTACCTCAAACGCGAAACCATTCGATCGCAATTTATCCTTTCGGTTGCGTATCTTTTTTATTCGAATTCGATTCGTCATACGGATTTTTCATTTCACCTAACGACCCGCGGAAAACGAGCGAACGATTGGCCGAGGGACACATGCCATCGCGATCACGGTTTCTTTCGATCGTTTCCAAAACGATCGTCGCTCATCGCTGATAATTTCGAGCGGAAATTTTTCTTCTCCTCTCACGATTCACATTTGCTAAATTGAAGTTCCCGCGAACGGAAAGAAACGATCGCGTTTCTGTATGCATCGATCATGATAACGTGCGATCGGTCGGCAGAGCTGTAACAGATTTTATTTGTTCTACTTTGGACGGCTACGAATCGTGCACAGGTATACAAGTATATCGTTTACACCTCACTCACGCCACGTACACGTATCGTTCACCAAAAAAGATACTCCCGACATATTCCACGACATTCAGTTGCTTCGATGTTCGTCTCGAAGATACGTAACAGCACAGCGACCCTGAGTGTGCTACGGTGGAGGTTCTCTGCGTGTGTCACCCTTTTAATATAATCGACGATTCTTTACCCTGTGTCCACGAATTCTCGCACCCTAGCCGTTTCTATCGATGCTTTCGTACGATAATTCGTTCCGTTGTAAAACGAAAATCTGCCGAAACGTGTTTCGGTGAAAAGTGGCATACGCCTATTGTGCACGCACACTTACGTACACACACATACAACACACAGAAATACACACCCCTTTTGCACATGATACGACTACGTCGCGTAGGTCGGTGATCCGGCAGAATGTGGACCGACTTCCGGTTCGCTCGAGCACCGTCCCTCACACTTCTCCCCACGGGGACAAGCCTGCACCGCTGTCTTAGCCCGTCCTCGACAGGTATTACCCACAGCAGTACACTGAACGCACACAACTTCCGGTTGTAGATGGGCGAGAGTTAGCGATCAATAGGTTGCAGAGGAGCGTGTTCTAGACGACGTTTATCGTAGGACGCGGATTTTTCCAAGAACCAAGAGCATTTCTTTTGGGAAACGTGTTAGAAACGATGCGGTAGCTTTAGAAGAGAAAGAATAGGGTAATAATTGGGGATATAAGAATAATAGAAACGCGACTGCGTTAAGGATACGATAACGGAGGGAGGTAAACGATTCTTAGTTTAGACGATAGAATTAAGGATCGACAGCTAGATAGCTGAGAGAAAGAGAGAGAGAGAGAGAGAGAAAGAGAGACAGAGCAAACGAAACGTTTTGGATCTACTGTAGGGAAGGGGTACTACCACCATACGGGAGGTCCGATGTCAATGTCCGGCAGTGGACGTAGATACAACGGACCCCACAACGGGCATCACAACACGGGCGCGATGACCATCGAGTATAACGGTCATCACCCACCGCGAGAGCCGCGAAAAGAAGAAAGCACTCTCGTCAGACGGAGCTTCCGAAGGAGTGGCGACGAATGGCGCGCCGACAGTCGGAGGTGCGTGTGAAAATTGGCAATCGTGCGTTCGTTAAACATTAATCCTTCTTATATTTTTCATTTTTTTTTTTCTTCTCTCTCGTTTCTATCCGCGTCGGTCATCCAGGGATTGCCGGGTTTCCGGTGATACTTGGAAACGAAATTTCTAACGTCACGTATATACGCCGTCTGTTTGATTGCCGGACGAAAGCAACCGCGATCATTGAGTGGTCCGGGAAACGAGCGTACAGAGAAAAAAGAAAGACGAATTTATCCACGCAATTGCAAACACTCGAAGGCACACGGTACGAAAAACGTGTCTCTCTCTCGTATCTCTGTGTATGTGGCGTGTCCATCAGGTTCACGGAGAGAAGGGGGAAAAAGACAGTGCGATTTGACGGTGGGACCAATGTCGGCGGCCCTCAGGAGGATTGGTCTTGGGAGGCCGATCGGCAGGGTAGCCAAGACAGCGCGACCAAAGACTCCGGGATAGACACCTCTAGCACGTTCACGAGCAGTGAGGACAGCAACAGGGGCGACCTGCCCAAGGTACGGGCCCGTTACTCCTCTCAAAATCGAGCAAAAACATTGAAAATCAGCTCGTCGATCGAGCGATTAGGCTAGAATTCGATCGATTACTGGTTGCCTTCGAGCAACCCAGCCAGGCGGTCGCTTCGTTTAGAACCATTAGGAAACGAAATTCAGCCGGTGGATGATCGAGTAAAAGGGGTCTCTGTCGCTCTCCTTATCGACAAGCAAATGTGCATATTTAGAACGCTTTTCATGTATCGCGCGTCGCGGCCAGATTTCTCTCGCAGCCGCTTAAATCATGGCGGGTCTCTGTCGTCCAAAGTGGAATACGGTTCAATTCTTCTTCGTTCCTTGCTTTTTTTTTTATTTCATAGCTTTAGTTCTCATTAGTGACACCATAGAACAACGACCAAATACCGTGCTCTGTTAGTGCCTGATCTGATTGGTTCGTGTGATTAGAGTAGTCCTTAGTTACGCGTCGATTTAACCCTTTCGTTCATCACTATAACGCGTTCCGCGTTCAGGAAAATCCGAGTAGACGTAGCACCTGACACAAGTAGATGCAACCTTCTTTGGAAGCTTTCTTCGACGATGATTTTACGCGAGACACCTAACGAAGGGGTTAATTAATTCGACGTATGTACATAAAGTATCGCTCAAAAGTATTCGAACAGTTGCGTTAAGAGAAACACAGTTCTGTCGAGAAATATCATTTTTCTATACAGATTTTTGTGCATGAATCGGAAAGAATTTTTTTCACTTCAGACGTTCCAATTCTAGCTAGGAGCGGCGGCCAGCGATCGATGTTCTAGCAGAAGAGGTTTCGGATAACTCCACAAATTTTCTAAGAATTTCTAATTGAAAAATCGTGTCGTTCGAATAATTTTGAGCTGTACCGTGCTATGTACGTCGAATAACGGAGCGAGACAAAAATTTCCGAGAGGGAAAGATCGACGGGGTGTTGAAACTTTCATAAATTTCTTTTCTTCCCTTTCGTTTCTTCCATACTTTGTCAAATTTTTCATTTGCGACGAAGAAACCTCTTTTGCTCGATACACCCGAAAATTTCCAGCTTGAAGGCTTCCGCGCTTGGAATCTCCGTTACTTTTCGTTACACGTTCTACCACGCACACATTCGCGGTGCAACTCCTCGGGATCTGTTTTGTCAACTCTTTAAACCGATCGAGAAACGTGTCACGTAGCGACGATATTTGACGAACACGAACGCGACGAATGCGACGTTCCTGGCAACGTGTAGATAATCGCACCATCGCATGAGTCTTGAGTTGATCTCACGTCACCGACAAAACCCTTCGGGACTCGCCCCGTGATTTAGTCGCTTAGAAATAGGACGCCATATCGCTTTCTTCGCGGAACTCATTCTTTCTCATCGTATCATCACTGCGAACCATTCATCGGGAAGCTCTCGTGTACTTTCGTCATTTAGAAGAATATCGAATCGTGGAATTTAGGGACTGACAACGGGGTCTTCTTGTTTTTCGCAAGCTTCAGGACACCTTACAGGATTCGAACACGATTCTCCATCATTTCTCTCACCATCCACATTCACCACACGATACATCGATCATGTAATTGAATTTTCCTTAACTTTATCGCGATGGTTCGGTCTTTAGAATTGATCTTTCTCAAAAGCGCATACGTACGCTCTCCGACTAAACGTTTTTCAAGAGCGTACGTATACACTGTTCTAGGCGAAAGGGTTAAACGATAGAAGGTAGAGGCTAGAGAGGGTGGCAGAGTTCAATCGAGTTTCGACGAGACATTTCGTTCGTCGAATTTCGAAACGAAGCCTTTGACGCTGTGTTAATTGAGAACATGTTCCTTTGCGCCGACGATAATTTCTCAGGCTAATATAAACGGCGTTCTCCTCTCTTTGCATCAGACCCTTCGTACGTTCTTTATCGAATGCTTGATTAAGAGGAGACACGAAAAAGAAGCTATAGACTGAGAATGTACTAGCTCTGTTCTTTTGATCCTTGATTGGTAAGATGGAATCAAGATTATTTTCGTCAAGGCGTTTCAGCTTAATCCCTGCGTTAAAGTCTATAATTAATTACTAAAATTTTTGAAGGAAACACTTCAAAATGTTATCTAAAGCTTAGACTTCCAGTTTGTAAAAATTGTAAATTGTTTTCTAGGAAAATTATATAGAATAAGGTCTGCTGATCTATTTTAACGTAGGAACAGAAAAAGGCGTTTCGTCACGAGATCGTCTGCCAGACTTGTCAGACGTCTACATTAATGACCATAATATATGATTCCATCTAGCCAGTTAAAGATGAAAACGAGCCATCTTTTAGCGACTGTTTCGTTCAGAATGATCGCGTGAAAATCGAGCTAGCCAGCAAATAGGCGGGTCATCATCGACCGTCATTGTTCTTCCGGGCGCCCAGTTTCACTGTTCGGACGCTGGTTTTCCGATAGCCTCTCCTTGCCGGGCGTATTTGTCAATTTGCCGGCGTCGGGACGGCCGATGGCCAACCACGGTTCGATTATCCGTTATTGTTATTATACGACCCCGTAAATCGGCTTCGAATTTCGATCCGTCCGTTGCAAAGCCATTCTTTCGAATCCTTCCCATTCCAGTCAAGTGTGTGTGTATGGAGGCGCGGACGGGGCCGATGGGTGCCTCTGGTGAAACTCATTCGAACGGAACACGACCAGTTATCCGCGTAACTGTGGAACACATCCGTCCTGTCCGTCACCTGACTCGGATTAATCGTTCGTTTCTGAGAAAAGGTTCTTCAAGAACTTGGAAAATTAAGAGCCATCACGGGGACGCGAATCACCCCCGTAGGACTTGTAACTGGGTTTAATCCTTGCGCGAATACTTAAATACCTGCAAAAGGGTTCCAAATGACTTGCGAATTAATAAGTATCTCTATGCGAATTTTTTGTTTCCCAGTCCAGCTTCAAAGAAGTAGAACAACGGATATTTTCGTTTTATCGACGAAATGTCTGCTAGAAACAAAGGCAAGGTTTCCTTTCATTTTAAAAGAAAAGCAAAGGAAGAATAATATCTTAGAGATGCGAGTAATACAATTTTCAATGTTCAAGAATTTTTATCGAAATTCGATGCAATGTTTAGGAAAGATTATTATTATTTCTTGAATCTCGATCAAGATTTCGCAGCGAATTCGTAGCGATTCTTTGGAAAAAAAGAATTTCCTTTTCCAACATCGAACGATACAATTTCAGTTGTAATGAGATCTTCGCATCGTTGACCGAGTTCCTGAAGACGAAAATACCGTTCGATCGTTCTCTTTTAGTTTCTACGTTTTTGATCCGTCGAGGAATCGTTTCTAGCAACGGGGACGAACGATTATTTAACGGGTCAATCGCGTGCATCGAACGTTGACGATAGGCGGTCCCGATCATGAGAATCATCGTTCGATAAATGGAAGAAGACAGGAAGTGGAGGGAGGCCGTGTTCCAATTATGCAAGGAAAGTAAGCAAGATTAAATTCGGTCCGAGTAAACGGACGGCAATCGAGCAATTTATCTGCTGTCGGTTCGTCTTATATACTTCTTCTTTTTCTTCTTCATCGGTTAAATCAAGATCGACCCTCTTCCGAGATTAAGCTGCTACTTATCGACTGAACGCTATTTCCCTCTCTTTGTGTGTGTTTACGCGGACGTTGGCAAATAATTATTTACAAGAATATTTTTTAGCAGTGCATCATAATTTATTAATATTAATGAAAAATTTGGAAGCTTCCAATTTTGCGAATATAACTATTTAAAAAATGTTGTGGTACTCTTTTTTAGTTATTTGGTATTAAATTGCTATCGTTTCGTGTTACGCTCATCAGAAGAAGGTTTGGAATCGGGGCTTAGTTTAACACGTCCGCGTGATGACTGCCAATCCATGAAGAAGTCGAGACGATTTCGCAACCGATCCGAAACGTCCAATTAAAAGGGAACGAAAGGATGCCAGCCAGGTTGTTGAGAGAGAGGCGTACCTGTTTCATAATTAATCGAATTGGAGCACGGCCAAAGGATATCCGAAGCGGTGGCGAGTCTCGACGACCTCGTTAGCTCTCGTCGATCGGTTTCACGACGGCTTTTGATAAATCCGCGCGCGACTTTGGGCGTCCCGGAAACCGAAAACGGATGTAATTGGCTGCGCTCGAGAAGAAACGGGCGCGGTGGAACGTTTCGAAAAGATTCCAACTACCGAGACTTGGTAAAAGAAAAAAAATCGTGTTCGAGCTTATAACGGAGAATCGACGCGTTTCGAGTAATTCTTTCCGGATTTAACGAGCGTTCTTAGCGAAACTTTCGAGCGTTCGTTTAACTTGCCTAGTAAAATATTTAATTACAACTGTATTATTCCGTGACGCGGTAGAATTCTGTAGAATTCTTTGAATTTCTTCGTTGCTCGAAGCAGCCAATTGCATCGAGATTAAGCAGAAGTACCCTTCTTATCTTAGAATCACACAAATAGGTATAAGAATAATAATTTCGAACAGAGCGGCGTCGAAAGACTCGGTCAGATCGACAGGATCGACCGGTAAACCGGAAGGAGGCGACCCCTCTCCCTAAAGTAGATCCACCAGATGAATCGAGTCGCTCTTCGACAGAGATACTTCACTTTCACGGTCTTTTTTTTAACGCGATCGCTGTTGCATGCCTGGATACCTTGAGGACCTCGAACATAGGACGTTCGAAGGGACTGATTGACCGCTTTTCTGCTCGTATACTCGTTGACAAAAGCATGTGTGAAGCATGTGTAATTAGTGATTTGTTCATACCGTTTAGACGCGCCTAATGTAGACGTACGATAGCGTGCTTTCTTCCTGGTGTCAAGCTTGATCGTTTTACCATACATGCGCCTTGAAACATGTAGACCCACACCATAAACACTTTCAACGAGAGGATACTTGAAAGCAATTGATCAGATTTTTTTAAAAAAGTTGCGAATAAATTTCAGAAGCATATAGTACTCCTCATTTGTTTCAGAAATTTCTTTGAAATAAATAAAAATAAAATTAGCTTTCTCTGATGGCTTCTCAATTTTATTCGCACCTTTCTCTTAACACCATGTACACCCATGAGTCGATCAGTTTCAAGTATCCTCTCCTATGTGCATCACGTCGCCAGAAAGACCACTCTCTTCAGCTTCTCTTTCATCAGAATTTCCTGCGAGACGAATATCTTGCGACTGATAAGAAAATTCAATACGTTGCAACGTTTTTGTTCGCGTTCGATCGATCATCGTACGATTTGCGCAGCGCAGGATAGTCATCCAGGAACGTCAGCTTGATATCATCAACGTTCACAGTCCGTTCACGAATTACCACCCTAGCGATCGATTCTTTCGCGTTCGAAATTCGGAAACTCGTCCGAACAATTCGAGGAACTTCTTGTGTTCCGAATTTCGAGCGTGCACACGCGTTCTCCCTTGCCCTATTCTCATCTCACAAGAACGCGACGAGTCTGACGTTGAAAGGTAAAAAACCAAAACCCGTTCTCCGCGCTTCGTAGCATCCGTTATCCTGGCAAATGAGCAGAGACGGCCAGAAGATCATTGGCCACATGGTGTTGCGAAAGCAGCCCGGTTCCGGAAGCAGTAGTAGCATACTCGGGCTGAAAGTGGTCGGCGGGAAACTATTGGAGGATGGTTCTATGGGCGCCGTCATCGAGAAGGTCAAGGAGGGTAGCACGGCTGATATAGAAGGTCAACTGAGACCCGGTAAGACGATCAATTTAACCCCGATGGCCTGCCCATCTACCTTCCCAACCTCGTTCCTATCTTAGAAGCTATCTTCTTGCGTTACAGCTTTTCCTTTCTCTTAAATACCGTCCTTTCATCAAATACTAAACACGAGCCGAAACTCGGCGGCGCAACCCTTTCAATTAGCAAAACAATTATCCGACACTATGAGACGAGAAGCAATACGAACGACGATCCAAGAAAAAGAACCTCCGTATTAATCCAATCCCAACCAAACCACAAACGCTCCTCCATCAGCTAGATCGAGAATCACCGTGTCAGGAGTTTTCCTTTGCCCTCGTTCACCCGCTAGCGTTTTCAGCAAAGGAACTCCCCGTTTCGAAGTAAATAAACCTTTCCTCTCGTCGTGCCACGAGCGCCGCGGGGCGATCCAATAGGAACCGATCGGACATTCGACGATTTCAGGTGACGAGGTGATCAAGTGGAATGGCAGGTCCCTTCAGGGCAAGAGTTTCCGTGAAGTTTGCGACATCATCGCCGAGTCGAGGCAAGAGCCCCAAGTGGAGCTGATAGTTTCGCGAAATCTATCCCCGACGAGCGGTCCGGTGACGATGCCCGCAGGACCGACGCCTACGACGCCGATGGCGTCCAGAAGGATCGCCGCACAGACTCAATGGAGGCAAAAGCACCCGGAGTCGATTTCCGGCCCGCAACAACCGCATCACAAAGGTGACTATACGCTTTTAGCTTCACTCGTTCCTCACCCTCTTTTCTTCTTCTTATTATTCTTTTTCCACCCTCGAAACACACTCTCAGGAATTATTAGGTCGTCTCATAAGTAATCTGATTTACTTCGAGCGCAGATATTTTCGATAAGAATTGATTATTTAAATTACTTACGGGACGAGCTAATATTTGAAAGGTCGTTCTCGTTTTCTTTTTTCTTCTGTCTCCCTTCTTATCCGCCCCGAGTATGTACCTTGTTCCGTAGTTTACGCGCTGGGACGTGGAAGAGGATGCCTCGAGCGTCCCGAAGCGTAACGCGCGTTTAGAGGACAGGCTAGAGAAGGTAGACAGTGTCAGTTGAGACGATTGTTCGGGTTCTGATAGATCAGACTTAGATTTGTTGTGAATAATTGTAGTAGTTTGAACCACAGAGGGCTGGTTGCACAGCTCCTCGTTATTTGTACAGGGTGGTTGTTGAACGATGGACACGGTATCGTTCGAGGAATCAACCTGTACTTGAGTAGCATCATGTAGAATAGAGAATTTTAGAGTTCATTTAATCAGACACGATTTGAGGTACTCTCAAGATTATCTCCAGACGATATTGATTTGGGATAAATTTCGAATTAGAGGATCAAGAATTTCTTACTTATTCATATATTATACAAATGTCTGTCATAGAAAAGAGTATGATTTGAATGAAATTAATAGAGTATTAGAAAGTATTGGAATTGGTGAAAAACTATTGGTGCCTTTAAACGAAATTTAGCCTGGATTTGCATTGGAAAACGTCGAGTCCCTAACTAATAATAGACATTAAGTAAAATTAAGCGGATTGGAAACGATGCTATATTGTCACAGATTATATGCTTTTTCGTATTCCAGGTCTTAAGAAATGTATTCTATGGGGTAGGCCTAAAATTTTCTTTAATCTCGATCCCATGTAATCGGTGTTACCCTGGCCGAGTGTTTGTCGGTTTATATTCCCACCCCTTTCTTCTAGACCTTGGAAGATCGACGAGAAAAACGGCGAACCAAAGGGTTCGCTGTTCCGTTCCGTTAAATGGAATCGCAGCAACGATTATCCCGTAGACGAGTGTGCACAAAACCGTCGTAATCGACGTTTCAAGCAACGACCTCACCATTTATTTTGCTTTCTGTATACCGTCGATGTTTTACCGTAGAACGTAGAGAAGTAGTGTCAATGCACCCCCCCTACCCCTTTGCTAACACCGCCGTTTTACGAGCATAGTTTTATGGGAGCAACAACTTGAGAACAAGCGTGTACACTTGTGTTAACGTTTATCACACACCTGTGCCGTTTCGTATTCGAATCCTTCTGTACATAATGCGAATTATCCTTTTTATAGATTCTTCGAACGCTGCATCGCCGCGATGCAGCTACGGCAGCACCGGAATAACAAGCGTTTTATTAGATTGTTGCGTATCAAATGGCCAATTTCGGAATGTAGAGATCGTCGAGCTGTAAGCTTCTAATTTATATCGCCATCAAGTAGTTTTACGTTGTCGGATCCAATTTGATATGCGACAACCTAATTCGTCAGGCGCAATATTCGAACCTTCTACCAAATAGTAGTGCATTCAAGAAGCGCGGGATGTATACTTCCCGTTGGTCAAAGGGTTAACCTACCATCTGTGCTCGGTACATCTACGGGGATGCGTTATTTTGATCCTGAGCAGTTTGAGAGTATCCCGCACGTTATTCTGCAATATTTCCCAAGAAACTAACATGTCTGCCCTGAACTTTCTGATTATGCAAGAAAAATTACAGTAATTTGATGTAAACCCGCAGGTTGTCCCCGAAATTTACCCTCGAATCGATGTAAATCCTGTAATAATCCGCCGTTTTTCGACACGATTCGATTTGTCGGGAATTTTACAGCGAATTCCTCGAATTTCTTGCACCATCCTAACTCGAACGCGACTGGATATTTTCTTGCAATCTTCGGTCGTGTTCGAAGATAAGAGACCGTCGAACCTGGTCCCGTTCTCGTTGTTCTTTACGTCACCCTTACACCGCGGAGTTACGTCCATCTTTGTACGACACATTTTGACCCGTAGCTCGAAAACGCCAGCTCACGAGAAGAATCTAAAGTCTAGCCGGCACTGAACGATCACTTGCAGAATTATACGACGCGAGGCGCGAGAAACCTTCGGTTTTAGTGACCTCGCCCGGCTCGCCGGATCTCCACGCTCAGGGACGGGCCAGACATCTACGCCATCCTCCTGGAAACGCGAACGTGGGTGGTAATCTTCAGGTGAAGCTCAGCTTCGATCCTATGGCGCTTCGATTGATCGTCACGTTGATCTGCGCGGCCGGGCTCACGCCCAGGAGCAACGGACAGCCTAGAAATCCCTACGCCAAGATCTTCCTGCTTCCGGACAAGGGGTGAGTGAACCCGACGAAAATTGTTTTTCCGCTTTTAAATCGTAAAGCACCGCGACTTTCCACTCGGAATTAATTTTCTCGTAGAGTCGTTTCAACTTCGTGGATTGATTTAATGGCGCAGGAACTCGCGTTCCAAATCGTCCGGTAGTTTCTTACCCGGGTGGATAGTAGCGTTGACGCAAAAAGAATCGAGTACAAGAATCTCGTTTACGCAGAGACACAGCAGCGTGACGATGTCGATGCTAAAAGCTGTCGTTTCTCGAGATAAATCATTTCTCGAAGAAACGATAGCGAGCCAAGAGATAGCCATCGTATTTGGCCGGGTTGCCAACAATTCCATCGTTTTATTTCCCATGCTCGTCTCCTCGAACTGGCGTCTCGTTAATGTCCCGACATCGATCGCGGTATCGTTCCATTTACGTATCAGTTTCGCCGTCGTATCGATGCGTAACCTTCGTTTTTCTATATTCCGCCGTGCACAGCGAGAAGTCGAAGAGACGGACGCAAACATTGGCGAACACGAACGACCCGAGATGGAACCAGACGTTCGTCTACGAAGGTATCAGGGGCGCAGAATTGAGGAAAAGGGCGCTGGAGATCACGGTTTGGGACTACGGGAAGTACGACACGAACGATTTCCTAGGCGAAGCTGTGCTCGAGTTAGCGACCGCCCGTCTGGACGAGGAACCGGAATGGCTACCTCTGATCGGACACGGCGAACATCGACACATTGGGTACGTGACCAAACCACTGCTCGGTAGATTAGAACGTTTTTTCGTTTTCTTCATGCCTCTGAGATGAGACGCAATCGCTACCTACGCATTCGTACGCTTGTTTGCAACGAGAGACTAGGAGAGACTTAGAGATTGGTGACTGACGAATACTCAATGCGCTTCTGTTAGCCGCTCGAATGCTAAATGAAATGAAACGAAGGGGCTAGATCGTAGGCGGCAGCTAGCCAACCAGTTCTCGCGTTATCATTCTTTCAATACATAGGGAGAAGGAATCCGTCGACGATCACCGGTTTATCCTAAATAACGTCTCGTTAAATAAGACGGGTCAGGTGTTCGTCGCGCGTTGTGTACGTATGTCTGTGTGTGTGCGCGTCCCGTGTGCATCCCGGGTGTTCAGCAGATCCGTTCGGCTGATTCTTTTTCGCCTAGCTCTAGCGAGAAGAGCGTAGCGTGAGATCTAAATTTCGCGTTGCACAGATACTATCAGGAGCCCGATGACATGGTGATAACTCCGGTGGACTGCCATCTCAGTCCACCGTCGACGACGTCGCGGCTGAGCGACTCTGACACTTCCGAATGCGATATCACGGACTGCGACGTCTCCAGGGAGCAAAGGAGAACAGCTGACGGTGCCAGTATAAGCAGTATCGGCAGTTCCTCCAGGTAAGAGCATCCTTCGAAATCTCTCTACCGCGCCTCCCGAACTCCAACCACTACTACCACCCTTCGCCCGACCTCAAACTATATACGAGATATATGTATATATATATATGTATACCGGGGAGAAGAGCGTGCTATTTTCTAAGGACGACGCGGCACAAACGTCCACGGCCACCAGAGAACACCGTCGATTTAAACGATTTAACGAGATCCGAGCTTAGAGCATCGATTTCCTCTTCTTCCTCGAGAAGAACAAGTAGATTCGTCGTAGGCAGGCTGACAGTAAGACGCAAATAGAATTATCTACGCTATGGATCGTAAATTTCATACCGCCTCGTACGAGATACAAGAATTTTCACCGGTGTTTAAGCACGAGACTCGTAGGCGGTAGATATGGCGCGAAATATGTTCGATAGAGGGGTAGTTTTGAACTTGCGATCGGTAGCGTGGAAAATCCTACGAGGTTAACGTACGACAGTTTCCGTGAATCGAAGCCTTCGAAACAACCCGGCGAAGAATTAGCTGCGGAGTAGGAAGCTGTGTCGTGCAAGGTTCGCCAGGAATTAATGGTACTTAGTAGTAGAAGCGTTACCGTTCTACCGGGGTTACTACTTTCGGCTTAAAATCACGTTTACAGCTGCCGTAACCGCTATCGTAACTGTCGTAATAATAGTTATTTCTCGTGTTAATCCTTTCTCTACAAAGACCGAGTACAATCGTCCTCGATCCTTCAACGTTGTCGCATAAACATTCGAGGAGATCTCTGTTTTCTTCTAAACGGTACGGATCGACGCGGAATACCTTCTTAATTACTCGTACCTCATCGAGCTCAACGTTTCAAAGGTGAAGCTCCTAGGATGGCAAAAAAAAAAGCAGAATCGAGAGAGGTGGTTAAAGGTTTTTGTGTTCCACGCGGAAGAAGGCGGCACTGTGACGTAAAGACAACCACAACGTTGGTAAAGAGAGACGGAGACAATGGGAGAGAAAGCGAAGGGGTGAGAATAAGGGAGCATCAGGGTAGAATGGCGGGGAAAGAGAATTAGATAAAGAGAGAAAAGGAGAGAAGAGGAGAGACCGAGAGCCAAGTTATAAAACTGGGCAACAAGCCAATTGACATGCCAGTTGGCCTGCAACCACCGCTGGCTGCGGAAGCCAGCCCCTCAGCCCGTATCCATATTAATATTCCAGCGACCACGTCCGATCGTTATTTGTGAGTGCAAAGTGCTTTCCACCCAGCCTTTGGGTCCTCTCTATTTTTCCTGGTGAAAAAAAGAGGAACCGACGAACAGGAAACAAGTGAACGGACTCTGTCTGCAATCTGACCGGAGTAAACGCGAAAAGAAAAGCGGTGATTACGTGAGAATAAGGGAGGGAAAATGAAATTTAACTGCGTGGCTAGGGACAGTGATAACCGCGTGGTTCATTTTTAGGCCGCCAGTGATTAGAAGCTGAAACTTCAGTGTGATCGATCAAATTCAGTGATCGCGAGCTTTAAAAAAGTTTCCTCGCTCCAGTGTTTGCGAATGTTCAGTGTGATAACGTTGAGAGGAACGATGTGTCGCGAAAGAGCGTCGAGTGCGGTGTAATTAGTGAATTTATCGTGCAGTTTGGATTAGCCGTGTGCTCGATTCGAAGAGGAGTTAAAAGGAGAAGGAAGATTGAAGATACACCGTGATATAGGATTGGAGAGTGCCGATGCAATGGAAGGGAGGAACGCTCAAGAACGAAGGAAACTGCTGGCCGCTTTGTCCCGTTCGTCTGTCTCTCGGTTACCATTTCCAGCTCTAATTGGCCGAACCTTTTGCAAATTTATTCCGCGGATGATGCTCTGAATACAAGCTGCGTCCCTCGAGAGCGTTCTCTAGCCGCTTCTCCTAGAGACAGAGAGAGTAATCCGATTGCCGGCACGGAAAGCTCGGGCCCGCTTCGCTTTCGTTTGTAATCAATCGCCTTATCTGTCGACCCTCTTCGATTCGAGGGTGCTCGAATAATAATATCCGAAAGTTCCCTTCGCCGTGGAGCTCGTTGAAAATTGCACGACACAGCCTCGAAAATCCCGGCAAACTTGCCGGATCTTCGTCGAAACTTTCGTTCTCCCTCTCTCTCTCTCTATCTCTCTCTTTGTTCCTCTTTTTTTCTCTTTTTGTCAGCTTTTAACGTTTCATCGGGCCAACGTCTCGACGCGCGGATCGTTTTCACGCGAGGTCGGCTTGTCGTTCGACGTCGAGAATCTGTAGAAACGATTTGGAACGGCGCGTGCTTCATTAATCCACGCTGGCCTCAATCTGCGACTCGCTGACCAATTTTTCTCCCCTTCTATTTTTCTTCCCTGCTCTTCCCTCTCTGTCTTTCGGCAAAGTTCGCGAAACTGGCGCGTTGAAAATGCCGCGTGCAAGATGAATAATTGAAACGTTGCGACGCGAGTAGCCGGTTCGCGCTGCGTGCAGATATTTAATAACCTTCGATACATCGCCTAACAGGATTATCCGAAAGGGTTTCACTGGTTACATTAATAAATTCATCGTCGGTCGTGTCCGGCGTACCGGTCTGATTACTCCCTTTTCTTTCGATCTTCTTTTCACGAAAAATCCGCGTTCGTTTCTCCGGTGATCTCGTTTATTTAGCGAATATACTTATGTTAGTTGGTAAAACTTTCGGGCTGGCACCGGTCAGCCGCCACCTTCGATCGATTTCCTTTGTTATTTATCTGTTCTGTTGTTTATTTTTTAGGTTTCATAATATGCCGTCAAATTATAAGCGGTACGGCTATTACAAACTTATATTCTCTCCTCTCTCACGTAATCACGCAATCACACATGTTATTTTGCATCGTTCACCGCCAACGTTAACGTTTAACTTGTGTAAATTTAGCGATACGCCGGTAGATATACGCTCGTGTCAGTGATGCGATCGACTCGAGGCACGATGTTTTCTATATAAACACCAATGAACGCATACTGACGCGATCTTCTCGTTGTTAGATCGGTGAAAATCGTTGGAAAAGAATCGTAGCATGAAAATTTATATCAATGAGATTTTAACGTACATTAGCTGGTTCCTAGAAATGGACGATTAGCAATTCTGGCCCCATTATCGACGAGAAACGAGCAATCTTTCGTTTTACTTTGATTAATTATAATATTCTACATGAATATGAAAAAAATCCGTTTTGTTAATAAAGCTTGAAAAGGACCGTCATATATTAGTCGAAACCTTTCAAAGATAATAACAGAGTTGATTTTGATTTATATAACCATCTCTGGTATATTAAATTGTAACACTGTTAGAGAGAGTTAACCGTACATCTGTTAACTAATGAATCAGCTAATAAGGAAATAGAAGTATCCTTCGAGTAACCTAATTTTTTATTCATTCCTCCTGGAAGGGTGTCTCGTTATCGCGGCTAACCTTGTGCTAAAGTAATGTTCGTCCCGTTCCTCTAACTATCCGGGGTAAATTCACGCGGGGATAACGCGGTGCTCGTTAAAACGACCATAACTGATACGTCCCTCAGATGTATTCCAGTTGCTCCCTCGCGTGTCGAGCTTTCGTATAATGCTTCCACGCAGCTCGGTTTTCGCATTTTACCCTCTTCGCGTCTCGGTTACATCCGTCTGGGATGGGCTATTTCGGACCCAATAATACGAGGGAGAAGTATTTTGTAATCGTGAATCGTTTCTCGTCGATGTGCCAGGCGATGAACGACGATCGCCGTCGAGGCGTAAGAGAAGAGAAAAGCGCGATAAATGAAAAGTAGTTTTTGGGCGCAGAGATTCAGTAGGTCACCGATCACGTAGGCACACGTAGGCGTCATCGTGTCATCGCTTCTTGCATCTCCCACGTTAACGAGACATTAGATTGCGAGAGGACATGGCTTTTAGTATGCTTAGTGCAACGCGACGCATCGGCCGGGGTGGCTCTTGTTTCTTTCGTTTCGAAGCTTTACCCTCTTCGCGATTTGGGCAACGTCCAGTTTCTACAACACACACCCACACGTACACACGCGCCAACACACAGATGACCTGTACTGGTTTTATACTTTTTCCCCGTTGTATCCGTTGCCAGGAATCACGGAACCGACGACGGTTTTTCTTCCGAACGATTCGGCCGCGATCGATCCGCGACGGTTTTTGCACGCATTTGGCTCCGCTAATCGCGACTCCGTTTGCGAGTCCATTGTTTACGGTAGCCAGCAGTTTTGCCTACTGGCGAGTAGCTTCTTGGCAACGGATACAACTCTGTCCTTCCGTCGCGAAGGACACCGCGGAGGAAAATGGTCCAACTACTCTCTGTCCGGCTTCATTGGCAAGTAACACTTTGTAAGAGATAGCTTCGCGACGTGGATCGTAAGGATATGCATTTGCACTTTGCAGATCGACCGACCAGTTCTCAGTCTACGGAATGAGGTAATTAATTGAGCTCCATTTATATAAAACCATTCTGTCACCGTGCCATCCGCGTAGCTTCCTTCTCTTTCAATTCATTCCACGAAAAACAACCATCGTATGTACATAGACGACAATTTAGAAATAGAAGAATGGACTCGGAAAGAGGGTAGTTGCGTCAAACGAAACGGTTGTGTATAAATGGATCTTTAATTGTTATTAAAAGTAATTCATTCACGTACGCGTAATTGAAACTTGAAATTAATGCTTCTCATCCTAAAGCCTTATTCATAATTTGATTAGACGCATTAGAACTTGAATTTGGATTTTATGCTTATCGTTAAGACTTGGAAAGTGAAACAGTTTACTTGCAATTATCGTCTCGTTCTGTTCAATTTTTCACGGAAAAAGTAGGTTGCAAATATTTGAAGGGAACGAGATTTGCCCGTTCCGGAGACTTTGACCATCGATATCACGGGATCCCTTCGCGTATCCCGGGGAATTGAAAAGAAACCTAGTTCCGTAATTGTTTCTGGCAAAGTTAGTAGAACTCGCATCCTTGTGTCTTGGTTTTGTCGCTTATCCAAGTTGGTACAAAGTAACCGTACACGTCGGTCGAACGGCACGAGTGCAACGCAGCGTAGAATGCATATTTGATGAAGCATCGCCAAATGAGAACCAGCCTGGCCGCATGCACTCTGTAATCTTAGCGCGAAGATCACAGCACTACGCGATATCCCTACCCCGAAAATATGAACCGATCAAACCGAGCTACGCGACGATCACTAATTGGGGAAAAATCTGAACGCATGCCGGAGCAGCCACTATTCTAGCCCCCCGCCGGAAAGGGAGCTATGCCTGGACGGGGAGCATCGAAGTCGCAGGGACATGTCGCCGCAGGGGCGTAAACGAGCCGCCCTCATGATACGCGACCAACCAGCGTCTATTTCTGGTTACCAGACTTATCGCAAGGTGAGTTGTCACACGCTCTTTTTTTTTCAATCATATTCACGGAACTCCTTGTGCACGTGCTTTTCCAGAGAATTGAACAATCGGTTCGTAGAATCTGTAGATCGTATACTCGATATAACTTGGAAAATCATCGTCGGCGCGTTAACGTTTCCCGGAAACGTTGCGAATTCTATCGTATTTGCCGTCGTAATCGAGGCTCGTTCGTTTCGTTTATTCGCGATGGAAACTGACGTTGTTAAATTTCTGCGATACCCAGGAGGATATACATCGAGGAATGATGGGGCACAGGTCGCACAGTGCAGCGCCTATGGACTCGCCGAGCCTTCGATACAGGGGAAGGTCTCAAAGTCCCACAGGTCATCGCTCTCTGTCTCCGCCGGAACACAGATCCATGCCCTACTCGCACGGCTACGTGTCACCCAGGTATATCAATTGTCCATGGGAAATATTACCTAATAATCCTGTCGATAGACGCTTCGAATCAGTTCCCGGATTCGTACAAATCAGATTTAAACGGGGACCTTTTCGTTTTTCTCCTTTTTTGCGTTATAGATTCGGCTCGAGGTCGGCAACTGCCACACCCACGGGTAGCCCTAAGAAGAGACAGTTACCCTTGATCCCGTCAGCATTGAAGGAAAGGGCTGCGATGGATCTCGAGGAAAGGGCGAGATTTATGAGACACCGTAACAGGCAGGTGCACACGACGTGCAGGAACACGGGGATGGGAGGTGAGCCTGATTTCCTTCTCAAGATCGCTTAGCCGTTTGTTGCGATGGAATTTCAATAGAGGACCAGAGAAAATAACGACGGGAGTTCGTATAAACGCGCGCCTTAATTTGACCTTGTTTTCAAACTACCCAGGGAATTTTGTGTTCCGCCAACGAGTAGACGTTGGAGAACTCTGTAATGGAACGTGATTAAAATATAGACCGGGAGAACGCTCGATGCAACGGGAAACTAGCTAAAATATATATATTTATACGAGATACGTTCGTTGTTTTTCGAGATAGCGTTACGACGCTTACGATGTTTCCCGTATAAATTTCACAATTCGGTGTACGTTAGCTGGATACGTATCCCCAAAGGGAATGATTTGCATTTTTCAGGTTGGGAAAGACACTATAGCGGACTGTCGGACTCGGATCTGCCCTCGATAGATCACGATCCGTTATCTTTGTCGCACAGTCACGCTTATCGAATGCACAGACCGCGAAGGGGACATTTAAGTCCCGACAAAGACGTACTTGGGGATCTCGGTGACTCTGATATGGAGAGTATAGCCTCCGTAACGAGTAGTGCCTTCAGTACGCAATCGGAACGACCACGTGGATCTAGAGGGCTAATGTGAGTATAGTTCGATATCTATTGTACTATAATTTCGAGTCGATGACCTTGCATTTCAAAGTCAGTGTACAAAGCAATACAAGTTCCATAGAGAAGAAAGTATTCCCTTTAGAGAAGACAGCCATCCATTGTACCATTTTCTTATTTTCATTTTTAACTCGTGCGATACTCGCGTTACATTTCATTTTCTATCATTGTTTTTACGTCCCGTTTTCTTTTCTTTCTTTTTCATTTATAATAGATTGCACAAGTTGATCGTTTGACTCGTTCGTGGATCGTATAGATCGCGCACAAAATGGAACATTTGATGGCTTACCTTCTCATCAACGATAATCCCTGAATTAAATGGACATTGCCGAATGAAATGACACCCCGTAGTTGCACTGTCTCATCTTTTCTCCCGCCTGCTTGATAGAATCCCGGTTCCCTTCCGTTCTCTATCTTTCTCTTTGTCTTTTTCAAAACATATTCTATACGTTTAGTTGGCTAGATTGCACCTCCTATGCACCGTGTCAATGTCCATTTAATATTGTCCCATTCTAATAAAGCAGGGATTGGTGCGTGGCGTTGGTCGAACGGCTAGGTGTACCTACGTTTAAACACGTCACAATTTTTTTGCATATGTATGTTTTGAGTGTTGATCACGAAACTCAGAATCAATCGTCGCACGTCCTACAGACAACCTGCATTTATTTGTTCGGCGAGTGACAATCCGACAATAATCCGGTGAAATTTTCAATAACCGTTGCTTGTGCAACGAAAAAACAGAAAGAAAAAGAAAATAAGAGAAGAAGAAAACGCGTTCGATCGATCGCGAACGCGCGAGTAGAGTTTGTCCTTGTTGATTATTATTGCAAAAGTAAATGATATTGAAAATGTTAGAGATAAATGATAAGAAATATATAATGAAGAATGGGCTAAAAGAATCGTTGAATATGAATCGCAGATTCGCTAAAACTCTATATGAAAAACATTGTTTGCAGACCGACAGTTAAAAACGTTTTAATACCCGGTGTCATATCCCCTATGCCCCTGCCCCCTAGGCGCAATAGGCGCAGGCACAGACTTAGGGTACCCTGCAGCGAATGTCACTGTCCGAACAACAATCCCACCAAGCCCAGGAGCAACAACCCAAGCAAGCACAATCCCACCCCGCATCCCCTCGTACGGAGCAAGTCCGCAGTGGTGCGCTCGTTGTACAGAAAGATGCGTACGCCGTTCACGAGGTCGCAGACCGTCGACGAGAACATGCTGAGATATTACAGCCCTGAGACCAGCGAGTACAGCGTCTCCGAGGGTTACATGCTCAAGCCAGAGGAGCTTACCGGTAGCTCCAAGAATCGTATACCAGAGATATACGTGGAGGATTGCCTTCAAGTCGACTTCAACGATCGTCTCATCGAGAAGTTTCGCGACAGATACTCGTCGCCCTACCTTCTGGACAACGGTATGCGTAGACGATCTCGTAGCTGGCAGGAACGTGTCACGGGGAGATCCGCGAAACCTAGACAACTCCATCTCTTCTCGAGAGGCTTGCACGATCTAACCGACGATCTCGGCATTAGGAACCTAGACATTAGCATACGACCGCGTAGGTCTTTTCTATTCTCCAAAGCTAGAAGCTTCGATTACGACGTGCTACACGATGCCTATGCAGATCGTTACAGTTTCGGCCTGGGTGCCGGTATGCTGTCGCGTCGCGCCAAGAGTTTCGAGTACGATACAATTTCCAGCAACATATTCAGCGACGACAGTCTACGAACCGCTAGACGAAAATTGAAAAGAAACTTGTCTATCAACGACGCTGGTTACGGCGACAAGATACCCGCGCTGGGTGATCAAAGCAAATCGTACTTCGACTCGAACGGCGACGACAAGGTACCGAAGAGTCTGCTGAATCGCGAGAAGAATTACGATTACCTGCTGAAACAGGATCACAAACCGTTCTACGGTTACGATTCCGAGTTCAGCTGCGGCGAGACTGAGATTTACATGCCGCGTTTCGATAAACAGAACGTCGATCCGAACCTCGCTCGGAAGAGTTATCGCTCCTACAACCTGACCGGAGAGCAGTCTTTCAGCAGCGACGATCAGATCGGTCTGAGAAACGTCCTAGGCAGGGAGGATCCGACGAAACGAAAATACATGGACTCGTCCTCCTTCGGCAGAGACATGTCGGAGAAACGTACGAAGAATCTCGACAGCGATATTTGCGATTCGGCTAACGATCACATTTACTGCAGCATCGACGAAGCACTCGCCTCGACGGACGGTTACGCTCGCGATAGGGACGTCACTTGTTCACCGATTCGCACGGTCGCCGATTTGGAGCGTTACGACAATCAGAGACCGAGCAGTCGGTCTCGCAGAAGAACGAAAAGCAACGAGTCTTATTTAGAAAACGGATACGATAGTTACGATTGGGACGTCGAGTACGACGAAGGGTTCATCGACAGGGGAAAGATCGAGGATTACGACGAGAGACTGTACGATTACGAGGACGAGGGCGTAGATGATTATTACGACAGAAGAGAGGAGGCGAGTCGAGGAAGCGGACGGAAGAGGAGAACTTCGCGATACCCAGAGGACGAGTACATCGGCGACGAGTATCGGGATTATCGTTCCGCCGATGAGTACGATTATCAAACGCACAGCGGTCCAGTGTGCAGGGACTCGTATCAGGATAATACGATGCCACGGAGAAGACGCAGACGAAGCCGAAGAGGGAGCAGAGAAACGAGCATCGGTGTATACGAAAATCTGCAACCGTATCGGGACTTGTCGTCGATGAAAGACAGCCTGACAGTTCCGAGCTTCTCGGAGAGCAAACGTATGATGCTCCAACGAGCCGAATCGTCGCCGGTTTTGCGTTCCGACGAGGAATTAAGCTCGGCGGAGAGAGCGGAGAGAGCCAGACGGTTATATCGACGCCGAAGAAACAGCAGCTGTCCCGAAGCCAGAGAGATCCGATACTACGATACGCCTCGGCGGAAAGACGAAGAGAGAAGCACGAACTTCATTCTGGACTCGGACGAGGAGTTCGGCTCGATGGAGACGGTCGTGTGCGCGGACTGTTTCCGTCAAAAGAACGATACGGTCATGGTTAGCGAGGGTACTAGACCGGCAGGGTACTACGACGCGGAACAGGAACGGGACGTTTGTTGCATAGATTCGAGATGCGGGTACGAGGACGCTCGAGTTCGCGACTATCCGGATACTTGCGAATTGACTAGGTCGGGATCGTTACGTTCGTCGTTGCAGTATCGGTCTAGGCGTAAGAGTAGTTGTCCCGAGTGTCGGGAGTTAGCTATGTCCTCGGAGTTAGGTAGGTCCGGTTCGATGACGCGTAAATCCGAGGAGAGAAGGCCGTCGATAGACTCGAGGCACACTAGGTACCGTAGACGAAACAGCAGTTGCCCGGAGGCTAGGGACCTCGAGTTGCTCGAGAAGAGGCAGCAACAGCAACGTGATCAACAGCAAGCCCAACAGCGTCAACAGCAGCAGGGTAGTAAGAGGAACGTAGCGATCAGCGATACCCTCGAGTACTACGAGTACTCGATGGAGAGCGAGAGCCAGTGCAGCGAGAACTGCGGATTTGGCCCGTGCGATCCGCGTAGGCCCCGTAACCGAGCACCCCACCCCGGTAACGCTAATTCAAGTCTCTTTGATTCCCAAACCGCTACCTCCGACACTGCTAAAAACTACCACCCACGGGCCGTCGATCACCACGATACCTCACGAAACACGAAAACGTCGACCCGCGGCAACGCCGACGAATCGACCGGGGCCCTATCGACCACATCCCCGACGTCGTCCATCCGACGCCGTTCGCGGAAAAAATCCGCCCACGACACCGGCGACCAACAACGCGGCGACGACGACCAACGGGATCGCCGATCCTCCTCCATGCCTGAAAGCAGCGAGTACAGCGGACAATCGAGCTCCTACGAAAAGACGTCCAGGAGTCAGACGGCTGATAACGAGCGCGACGATCATGCCAAAAGGGGCCAGTTCACCAGGAGTCTTAGCAACACCGACGCCCCGCAAGACGAGAAAGTTGGTAAGTCCCTGATCGAAATCGAGAGACCCGGATACTTCGATAACCTTACAATTAGATCAGAGTTAATTTATTATTTATTCGTTCGCGCGGTTTCGCGTTCACGCGTACCTTATTCTCCAGACGGTAGTTTGAGCGATACGGCGATCGGTCTGAACGTCGAAGACTCCTCGAGGAGGGGTCGCAAGAGTTCTCCCGGGAGTAAAAGCGGAAGCGGAAGCAGTAGCGGTGGCGGAAGCGCGGTGCAGTATCAGTCAGGTCTTGGGAAGAAGAGTAACAGCACCAGTCAACTGTCCGCCACAGGTAACACATCGTCACACTAGTCGTTTCTTCGAATTTCACGATTTCGTACAGTACATTATTCGGAAAATTCAATGATTCGAAAACGATCACGATAAAAAGCGATTCAATCCCGTGTCTCATATTCTAACGCGATTACTATACTATCTTCTCTATCTCTTCTTTCTATCTGGCATCTTAACCTAGTCAGTCTCTTTGTAATATATCAATAGTTCATCGAGTCCTAGCGTAGCACTAGCTTAGCATCATTAGCGAGTAGATCTACGATGTGCTCTCGTTGCTGGAGCGAAGCGATTAACAAGAAAAATAATCTGTTGGAACAGTTCTTACTAATTAGCGATCCGATATTTCTTGCCGTAATGATGTAAAGTAGATTTATACTACTTAAATAATAAAAAGACGGCTCAAATATCAAGAGTACATCGTAGAGTAAAAGAAAAACAAAAATCCCATTAAACGGGACAGTATGTACATTCTAATCGTATTCTTGTTTTCTCCACCATCCCTCCTCATCTCTATCCGCCTCTCTTCGACATGAACACATTCACACTTTACTTCTACCGACCAACTATCTCTCGACTGGCCTGGGGACCATTCACGTCATCGATCTGCACCCACCTGCACGATATCTCATCTTGGCGGGCAATCGTCGCTCGCGCGATCGTGTCACGGGACAACACTCGACGCGGATCATCCCGATCGATCGGTGGAACGATCGCTCTACTATTTATACGCAAAACCTCGTAACTGAACACTCGTACAAATACAATATACACGTTGAAATATGCCTCTGTAACACTACATATATGCAACGCTACGATCAACAATCAACTACTACCAACACCAACAACTACAACAATACTTCTACCGCTACAACAACAAAAATACTATGTCACGTCACGCAAAAAACCATAACATACCACGTGCGTCTGTTGGTGGTACATGCGTGGGCGACGAAGGACGAAAACGGAGGCTAGGATTCGGGAAGAAGGGCAAGTCCTCGTTTACAGTTCATAGGAGCGAGGAGGTGTTGCCCGAGGACACGGCCAGCGGAAGGAGCGGACGACAACCGAGTTCCGCAAGCAGCGACGGCGAGGGTAGCGGCGACGGGGACAGGTCCGAACACCCTGCAAAATAATAACACCCAAATTATTCTTCTGTCCATCCCCTTTTCAGTTTTTCATATCCCTTCAATTTCTTCTGTTCGTCACGTGGGAGCGATCGACGTGGCGTTATCAAGATTATCACTGTCCAATAAATTTCAGTTCCTTTTAAGGAAATTTAAGGAAATTTTATTTTTTAAATTGAGAACGATTAATTAATAATCAACGCGCGGATAGAAATTGATTGTTGGACAGTGTTAAGCATCGTTCTTCACCTCTTGGTTCAAACGACACACGCGTTCAGATTGTTTGAGAAGAAAGTTCTTCGAGGGTAGGCTTTCACTCAGCGACCTTTCCGATAACGATAATTACCAGCCTTTGTTCGATCGACAGAGGATGTCGAGCGAATTTTCACGCAGTGATTCGAGCCTTCGGCGACATATGTGAGTACAAGTTGCGGAGAGACACGGCAAGAAGAACGACAGTTAACGCGATCGGTCTGCGACAGTTGACGTTAACAAACCAGAACAATGAAACACGCAGCACATTATTACTCTTTAGAAAGCAGTTGCCGCTTTAGAGAGGGGGATACGAGAGACGATCACGACTATCAATGGAAAACACTTCCTTCGATGCTTTCGGAAGATGAAATTTAAGAGTGAATTCTTTCAATTAAAATTTTCATTAATCAATGGAAGTGTTTTTAAGGTGCACGATTAAAATAGTCGCGAATTGATCTCTGCTGAACCCTGTTATGCTAGATTAGAGACTGTTTCTACGTACATAGTAGCGATACGTAACTCTTAGAGGAACGTTTGCACGAGTTTCCTGAGCTGAAGCGAACGAGAATATCTTCTATCAATTTTCTTTTTCACGTAGATGATTTTACAAAGCAGAAAGAGTAAGATGGCTATTGCGTTCGAAAGTGATCAGAATGGAAAGTTGCATCTACCGGGCTCAAGAATTTTACGTATTTGCTGCTCGAGTACGTTCGCGGCCTGTTTTATTCCCGATCGTAGAATAGTATATTTACATATCGGTTCCTGGGTTGATGCTGCCGATACGTCGCGGTGTCTGTCTGTTTTGTACAGCTTTTCAACTTTTAGATGAAAACACGTGGTCAACTTGTTGAGACTCCATAAACGGTAGGTAAGTTGACCACCTGTGACTCGTTATTATCACTTATTATTTTCTTAGAAGCCGCTGTTGATACGTGCTTTGGGCGAGATTATCTCCGCCAATTTACGGCTTTTCGTTTATTGATGTCTTCGAGCGTTGCCAGTGTTCTTATGCGCATCTTCGTATACATTATCGTGTATAAGTATTTGGACAAGATTTTATTCAAATTGTTCACGAACTGAAGTACAATCCAGATGCTTATGGATGGTAGTGTATGTATATACATACATATCGATATGTTCGTTCTAGGTACAGTTACAAAAGCAAACAGGCTGATTCGATGTAGCGCACAGTCTCGTACATTTTTCATACGGACAGGAACATACGTATCCTCCCGGAAACTTACATAGATTATTACGTAAGTTACGTGTCCAGAAATTGTACCAGACTCGCTTCATTCGTAAATGTATGAAACGATCGAATTTATTTTCTAGTTACACTTCTGTGTACACAAACAACACGGTACATACACAACGTGACACTAATCAAACATGCGATAACCACTTAGCTGCAGCGAATTTACGATAACAGAATCATAGATGTGACGTTATGTTAACGATCCACTTGGGATTCAGCTTTTTCAGCCTTTCTGCCCGCTTCTCTGATTACAGGTGCAACACAACGGGACACGTTCGTTCAGAAAGCTCACGGGAAACGATCGAGTTTCCTTCGATTGTTAATTTTCTCCTATCGCACCCTTTCTTTTAGAGGACCAAGGATTTAGGGCGACATACAGCGAAATCTTTTCCAGGCTTCCTCTTAGGAGGAACGATAATCCTTTCGTGGTCGCCGACGTAACCAAAGGATCTGAGCGCAGAAACATCCTGCGACGACGCTGGATTTTTCCCCTCCCTACATGTCCTATAATTCCCCAACTTAACGATAGCCCGCAATAGTAGTCGCGAGTCCGCTAACAATGCCGACACCTAAGCTGCCTGTAAAGGCAAGTTCGTGCCCTCTTAATTAATAAAACTATCATCGAGTCTCGATACCCAAAATTCACCCTGTTCGCCGTACAAATGATCGAAATTTTCTCACGGTTCTTATCAAATTCTAGCTATACTTTCTTACTTTTGCCCGAACTATCATCCAACGATCATCCATCGAATCGAAAGTTTCGTTCGTGTGCACACGTGGTCCCTGTTTCTGTTTCTCATCGGGACATCGAGGGTGTGTGAGAATGAAAGAGAGCGTGGATAGTTTGAAATCGAAGAGAGAGGGAGAGAAAGAGCCCCGATAATCGCGACTAATCGAAAGAGGATAGCGTTACGGCAACCACCTCTGGAAGCTGGGATATTAAGAGGAAAGGGCTGCGGCAGAACGCGGCGCGGGAAATCTAAATGAAAGATTCTATAAAGCTTTAGCTGGTTGTTTCTTGTTTGGTTTAAAACGCAGAGTGCGGTATCGGCGGGATCTTCGTCGGGAGTGGTAGCTCGGAGGCACGTGTCGGTTTATCGAGCCGGAAACGCAACAGCACGCCGAGCAGCATACAACGTTCCGAGGAGATTGTACCCTATCAACGCTTTGAATCCGGAAAACAGTCGGGATCGGTGGCCAGTGACACAGCCGGAAGTCTCAACTCGATCTCTAGTTCCGAAGGAAGCTCGTAAGTAGTGGCCTCCACCGACCGATTCTGCAACCGGAACTGCCGAGACTCCTTTGCTGTCTCTTTCAATTCTTCCTTCTCTCTCTCTCTCTCTCTCTTCTCTCTTCTCTCTCTTCTTTCTATCGCGTTCTATGTATCTTAAAAGCTATTCTCTATCTGTACAGCAGGGTTACTCAAATGATATGGTTTCAGAAATTCTGAAAATTTGATCGGATCAATTGGATTAACCCTGCTAATCACTTCGTTTCCACACTCTTTCTGTATCTATCTCTGTTTCTATCTTTCTCTTTCTCCTCCACTGTATCATTTGGGACAAATTTTGTATTGTTTTACGCACAGGAAAGCCGCGAACGTGAAACGTGGATCGTTTTGTCTTTCAACGTGTGATTGAGCTGATGTGTATGCCCAGCATTGATGTACATTGTTTTGCTCATTCATGCTTTAATTCCTCCCTTTTATTTTCCGTTCACATTACGTCATTTCCTTTTTGTTTTATATCAGAAATATTCATTACCGTACATTTTCTTTCTTTCTTTCTTTCTGTTTTTCTTTTTTTTTCTTTTTTTATGTTTCCATTCATTTCATAAAGAAGAATTCTTCGATCCGTGTTCGATTAATTGCAAACGAGGAAGGAGCAACAAGATATATTTGTCACAAGTGCAAGCACACGTTCGATAAATGTTTCGTATCAAAGTCGTTTGATTTTTCTCTGTTTCGTACTTGTTCTCTTTTTTAACCATGTGTTTTGTATTTCAATGTGATATGATGTTGTCGGTGTTATCGTCGTCTTGGCTTGTTGCTTGGCTAAATGATCATGCGTCCATTACGTCGAAACACCCTTGTATGTCTACCACGCACACACACTTTATGTATATATATGTATATGTCTCTGTCATTCCGAATCGTCCTTATCCACGGTGACGAGGAGCATTCATTTTATATTGGGTAATCCAGGTGTCTTTTAAACGTGTGATTACGTGTACCTTATTCTCTTTGTACAACCATTTGTTTATAGATCTACCCTTATGTCTGGAGAGATACCAATACCAAACAGTGTATATAATACTGTAGACAATTTTATGTTTGATGTACCTTGAGTCGACGTAACTTTGTGAAACAAACAAATTTTAACATTCTCGATTTTATTAATTATCGTCAGTTTAATACATTGAAAATTCTTATTATTAAATTATTAGAAAATTAATTAAAAAAAAAAAAAAAAATAACGCGGAGAGTTTGAGACGTATTAGAAGGAGTTTCGTCGACTCGACTCAACGATTATAGAAATTCTTAATGGTCCAAAGGTCCTGTGTCTTTAAATGTAAATTTCTTTCATGAAAAAAATGATCAAGGTTTCAAAAGGAGTCGAGGATCGATAAGTTAAACGTCGAATAACCTTGTTATCCTACTCTAAACTCTTTCATCCTACACAATTTAGCTACCTTTCGAGGGCTGATAAATAGGGACAGACTTTAAACAGCGTTACCTAACACACTGACGAAGGTATGCTGCAGAAGGTAATCGACGTAAGTTACAAAACAATGATTTTCTATCGTATTCTCGATTACTAACGAATAAAGCATGAGTAGCTATAGCGTTGTTGGTTGGTTCAACAATAATCAAGATGCTAATTAATTTTCAAATAAAAGCAACGACGAACGTGAGGATTCGAAGAAGTTAAAGTGATTATTGTTGAAAGTATTTGATATGGTACTTGAGCATAGAATGGTCAGCATGCACCAACAGCCTGCTACGTTTCCAACTTTATTATTAAACAACTTTCTCCCTACACTATATATATATTATATATTTATTCGCTACACTAACACTACACTAGCAGCGTGAGTTCTTCTTGTCTAAAATCGAATGAAGTGTGCTCTCTCCTTCCGCACTTCCGTCGAAGGCTTGCGAGAATCGTCCCTCGCTCCTGCGGAACGATCTCTTATCAAATTATTTATTTAACCCGTCCCGTTATTTATTCGAATTCCGTTACAGTACCACTGTAACGGCGAAAGTGACGAATCGAAGAAAATACTAACGAGTACTTTATCGGTTTGAGCTTCAAATTAGCCCTAATTTATTTATTCTTTTCTTTCAATTTTGTTTCACCTACCCTGCCTTCTCCTCTGCCCGAAATACCATGAATCTTTCTTTGTATATTAAACGTTTGATTTTGGAAACTGCAGTTGGTCTCCCAGTCTGCGAATGACAGGCGAAACTGGCCAGTTGAGAGACTTCATCGAAGATCTGGGCCCTGGACAAGTGGTGGGAAGACAAGCATTGGGTGCTCGTTGTTTGGGTGGGATTCAGCTGTCGTTGACCCAGAAGAAGGGCTACCTTGAAGTGGAGGTCATACGTGCCAAAGACCTTAAGCCAAAACAGGGCAGTAAAGCGATTCCAGGTTCGTTCAAGGACACATTCCTTTAGGGTGATATCGATATCTGATAACATCTTCCACGATACATTAACCTCCACATTTTATGGAATTTTTCTTCAGCTTCCTACGTGAAAGTTTATCTGGTGAACGGGAAGAAATGTATCGCAAAGGCGAAAACGGACGCGGCTAGGAAAACGTTGGACCCATTTTACCAACAATCGTTATCCTTTAGAGAGAATTGTCGGGGTTGTATACTGCAGGTATGTAGCCATCGAATTTTTTAATCTTCTTGGAATAATTTATACTAATCGTTGTACGTTATAATTGCAGGTGACGGTGTGGGGTGATTACGGCCGATTAGAGGGGAAAAAAGTGTTCATGGGCATCGCGCAGATCGTGTTGGACGAACTGAACCTCAATGAGATGGTGTTCGGGTGGTACAAGCTGTTCGGCAACATATCCCTGGTCAGTGGACCTCCATCCTTAGCTTTGTCCCGTCGATCCTCGGCCACTTCCTTAGAATCCTTTAAAATCTAAGCAACAATCCTTCCAGTATCCTCTTTACACTTAACAAGACGTAGTGCAAAGTTCTTTTTAACTCTAATTCCCAATGAAAAAGAAAATAACAAAAGTACATATAAATATATATATTTGATCGCGTTTAACAATATCTATATAGTTTTCTCCGACCAGAGTCTCGCTGTAGTTGTTCGCGAACGTTCAAGATACAACAAGAAAAGACTCTTTTAGAATCGTTAAGACAACGTATAATCGTAAGTTTGATCGTTAGTTTATCGTGGTTCATATCCGTTCCATTATCCCCCAATGATAACGCTATTGAAAATTCGGGAAAAATCGAATCACGAAACGATTTGATCGGCTCTGAATACGGTAATGTCCAGTTGACTCGATCGTAGAGGAGAGTTTGCGTGGATACATTTGCGCGTTCGTGTCGATCGACCGAACGAGTTAAGTGTGCTTTATTTGCAAGATGACCGCGAGAATGGGATAAGTGTGAAAGGTCGTACGAGAGGAGATGTGTTTTCTAGAAACACCACGTATCACATATCATGTACGGCATATCAGACGAACCGCTAGTCTGTACGTAGACTAGATCTGTAGAGATAGCAGCCATGTACCCGGACCGCCAGATAGTTTTAGGTACGCACTGAGATCAACGCATCGTTCCTAAATAATTGATTCGAACGATTTCGCACGGATACCTTTCTCTATCGTTCAATCTCCTCCATTTAGTAAGGTGTTGTGCTAAAATTAGACTTAGAAAATATAAATTTATGACAATTTTTTGGAGGTATCCGCGTGAAATCTACGAACGTGTGTTGTTACAAATTCCCCTAATGTCTTTTACATTAAAATTATCCTGTTGCCTTTTAACGAGGGAAATGCACGATCTTCGGGACATTTAGTATTTGTACAAAGTTTGGAATCAATCGGTCGTGCGCTTCCCTTGAAATTTCTTTCTTGGTGGCAAACTCTTCCTCTTTGGCTACGAAGCGACGATTTATTAAAAATCGAGGCTTCGTCGTCGCGATTCTATCTGTTTATCACCCTTGGAAAGGCGGTGGGATCGTTACTGTTCTTATGCACTGTTCGTAATTTTTATAAGTTTCTTCATTTTAATAATTGAGACTTTATGTAATAACATCTTCGCCTTTCCAGAGTTAACCCTTTCGATTTAAAGAATAAAGTTTATTACGAAGTTCATAGAATAAATTATACGTTGTAAATATAAATTTAGCAGAAAGGAAGGGTTAACTGTAACCTTTAAGTCCATTGTTTCGTGTGAATTTAATACAATGGTTTTCTGTCTTTTCTCCTGACAATATCACCTCGTTATTTTGATGTTTTTCATTATCTCTGGACACAAGTTTCCGTAGACACTCTGATACGGCTTGGTTAAGTGTAACCTTGTTAATCTTAGACTCTTGCACAGCATTGCACCCTTTCGCTACCTTTTTCAACGATTTCATTCCGACCATTTATGCAGAACTTTAATAATGTACACTGATCTTTCCCTTATTTTATTTTTCGTTTAAGAAAAAATGAACGAAGGTAAGTCTCTGCCGTATTCGGAGTCCTCTGTTCAATTCTCTTCAATGTTTCTTCTAACAAGAAATGTTATGCAAGGGATACATTTGATATACATTTTGTTTTTATCAACGCTAGTCTTCAAATTGAAGTTATAAATCCCATATCAAATATTCTTTTGGAGTCTTACGTCGTATTGAAAGGATATCAAAATCGTGTGTCACTTGCATAACTTTTCTTCTAATTATTATAAAATGAAACAAGGATCCTACACCAACGAACCATGTACCCTGAAAATTCACCTAAATTCCTATTTGAATTCTTGTTTCGACTGTGTACATAACGAACCGTGATCACTTCCAGATTGATCTACTTCTCATTGTTCCTTTTATTTATAACGCTTCTATGTATATTATCCTCAGAAGTAAGGTAAGCGTTCGACTGATCTTATTTTCTTTTCTGAATCTTACTTACAGTGAAATCGATGCGGAGGTACTCTATACGAGTTGGATAGGAATTGCAACGTGGTGTTCGGTGAGAAAGGAAGTGCCGTACGGTTGTGACTCGATGTTCAATTATACCGAAGTGAAAGCAGAGAAGGAGAAGAACAGTGAAGTGATGTAAATTGTTCATACGTGACATCGAACATTGTGAATACATCGTCACGCGAACGACTTAAAAAATGAAACACGCAATTTAAATAAATATACATATATATATATATATATATAATATAGGCCACGCGTAATTCGCGACAGACATTTGCAAAACGTTTGTACATAATTTAGGAGGCTCCAAAGTGTTAATCGCCCAGTGACGATTTACAATGAAGATTTCCAAAAATACGGTCGCACCAAACAAAGCAAACAATACAGGAACAAAGAACAAACTACGAACTCGTTGTCAAAGTTTTTAGCCAAGAAAATATCATCGTCAGAGCGATATATATATTATTATTATTTATTGTAAATACTATAACAATGATATATACATATATATATATGAAATTCGCGATACGTATGCGCGCAGCTGTTTAAATGACGAACAATTGCCTTGACCGTCGCGTTTTCGTTGCCTGGTTGCCATCCGCTTCCGGTCTCCAATCGATTTTTATTAACCACGATCGACGAAACGAGCTATCCGTTCGATCGTTCAGGATCGAAGTCGCGTGGCAATTTGGCAAGGAGACGGGGATATCGTGAATTAGCGAATTGTTGTTGAACGTTATAAAAAAAGTAGCCATCTTCAACTATTTTGCATGGAAGAGTGTGCTTATATGTGCGCGTGTGTATGGGTGTGCGAGAAAGGGAAGAAAGATAAAAAGAAAAAAAAAGACGCGAATGCTAAAAAAACTATATCGACTGTCATAATATTGTGATTCTGTTAGTTTTATTTGATTGTCGAGAACCTCACAGATTCAGGTGTTTACGCGTACGGGGGACACAAAAGCCATGTTGTACCATTTAGGACTTTTATTCTCTTTGTCGACTTGCACTCGATACTTTAAAGGAAGCTCGTTTTTTTAACGTGAATATTTACTGAGAACGAACCGCCCACAATAAATCGCGTACTGAGCGGCGTTCCGCGGATAAAGAAATCGTGCCGCGAACGCTGCTGATGAATATATACGAGAATAATAATAAAAAGGAACAAAAAAAAAAAAAGAAAAGAACAAAAAAAAAAGTATAACAAAGCGAAACGACGACGCTTGTTCTCGTGAGGCGAGAAAAGCAGCGTACCTCACAATCGATTTTATATATCTCTCTTAATTCTCATGTTATGTGTTCGATCTTTGTCTGTGCATTTGTCCGGGTCACTTGTGAACACAATTCGATGAGCATGCACGTGTACGTAGGATTGTCTAGCATTAAACAATACCTGATCGACGAACGTGACTAATTTCTTTGTTTCTTTTTCGCTGACTGTGCTTGCAATATGTACATACAGTAAATGAATCGAATCTCAACCTCATCGTGACAACATGAACAATTTCACGGATTCGATAACCTCGGATCGCTAAATCGAACACGCTCTGTTTCACCTTTTCGTGGTGAAGATTATGTTTGTTCCTCGTTTGCTGCTCTTTCTAAGGTACTCCTTGGATATTGATCCACGTTAACGAAATACAAATTTCATTCCTTTCTTTCGCTTATCTGCTCATTTTGTCACTTTATCATGATTTTTCTTAAAAAAAACCTCGAATAGAAATATAAACGCAGGGAAATTTCGAACGATTAAGGGGATGTAGGCGATGAAAAGATATATCGCCGTCTTTAGAAAGTGTTTGAATTCGTGGAGAAACCGTGCAGAAAGGGATAATAGACAAAGCTTTGCTCTTTTTTTTTATAACTCGTGGACAAATACAAAGCGAAGATATAGAGACCCGACAATGCAACGCAAACCTACGAGCGAGCAAACGAAGAATTACTATTGTGTAAGGCGCGATTTCTGAGCAAACATTTTGCAAGTACATGTTCTTCTATTAGTGGACACTTGGGACAATGACTACGTAATTAACCACACGAAAACTATAAACTCTGTACTAGTGGATAACGCTCTCGATAAACTCGAGCAAAAGAAATATATGAAGAGACTACGAATTATGTAATACCTTCAGTTTATGATATGTACTCCGGTTACACGCGGCTGTAGGATGCTTCGTGAAATTTCTTCACATTATTGAAATTATTATTTCAATCAGTCCTTCGTTCATATTATAAAATATTATGTAAAATATAAATTTTCAATTTTGCAATATTCAATCATTTTTCCAGTTTAGTGCTCGTTGAAATTCTAACGGCAATTATTATTAAATTCTGTAAAGTTTCGCGAAGGTCTTATCGTTGCCATTTCTAACGCTTACTGTATAAAATACCGCGTATCCTATGCAAAATGTAGGACTTTCGTAATTAGTAACCGGTTCTATGAAATTTCGAATGAAAAGAAAAAAGAGGAGACAAAATAGAGAAAGGAGTTTGTTTTTTTTATATTTTTATCGGGGATGTAATCCGGAAAAGGAATTCCTATTTAGGAATCTTTTAGAAAATCAAAAAACCGGCAAACAAAATGCAAACGAGACTAAATTTTCTTCAGTTTCTTTAGTAAATTTAACTTGATTTCTGCCTTGATTTTCTTCGCAATTCAATCTGATTGTTATTAAAATGAATATTATTTTTACTTATTTTATTTACTCAGAGAATGTCCATGGCTCTCAGTCCGCAGCGAACGTGTTGAACGAACGATCGCATTCCTTTACGAATTGAAATTACCTTAGACAAGTTTCTGAACATGTAATCTATGTGAAAAAATATTGGTAAAAATAATTAGGCGAAGAGAACCAAGGCGATGCTCGTTTAATTTTCATACTCTTGCCATGCCCATTTGTACATAGGCATGCTCAATCTTAGGATCGAACACGCATCGTGAATCACGTATATATATATACATATACATACGAATAGTATTAACTACGAAAACCAACAAATTAATATCGGACTTTGTACCTATATACTTATTAATTAACTTAAACGAAGACGAAGAAACGGTTGGAGGGAAACAAGAAACTTTCGAACAAATATATATATCGAGTCGTATAAACACACGGGTGGAGGGAGGAGTAAGAGGGGGAGGGGGGAACGGGGAATAAACTAACGTAAAATAAAACCGAGAGTGAAAAGAACATAGAACAAAAGTAACTAATAATACAAATCTGCATGGGATGTAAACAAACAAAAATGAAATACTTCGAGAGCCAAGGGGTACCACTTTTGTCAAATTTAGAGAGCCAATTTAGGTTTACGATTACGATATAGGGTGTGCGAGATAGAACGAGTGCGAGAACTGTGAAAGTTAGCGAGTAAGAGAGAGAGAGAGAAAGAGTAAAAGAGACGATAAATGGAGGGAACTGTCAACGATTTCTTTACAATGAAATTCATTACTTACTTGAAACCTTGTAGACGCGATCCAAGCGTGTAGCGTTAAGTGTTCCTGTCATCTTGCGTCGAACAGCAACGATCGATCACCTGTCTTGAATTCGTCACGCTTTGTTTCTTCTTTTTTTCACAAAATTACGACGAACCGCGCACAAAATGAAACCGAACGTACTAACGTTCCGACGAAACTCAGGAATCTCTCGTAGTCTTTTCCAATTGGACAAGCCCTCGGTCACGTGACCGCGATGTAATTGGTTCACGCGATTCCCGCGGATTGGGCTAGTGGATATCGGCGCGAATATCGATTGTAAGATCACACGGACACTGACTCTTCTAAGCACGTGAAAACCGCTCGGTTTCTAATTTATGCCACGCGACAAACGTCCGGATTTATTTTGGAAATATGGAAGAGATAGGAATGCGGGCGAGAGAGCGAGGAGAGAGTATGGGTTGACACAAGAAAAAATTGCGTCTTTTTCGTTAACAAAATGAAGAACAAATGAAGAAATACAATGGCGAAAAGAATTTAAACAGTACGATTAGACGACGTTCCGTGAAAAAAAAAAAAGAAAACAGAACTCGACCGAGAACTCCTCCGACGATTTTCTTAATTTTTTTTCTCTTCTGGGAAGATGTCTAGGATCGATGCAGTTCGACCAACTGCAGATCCTTGACGTGAAACCGTTTTTAAAAGTAGTTCTGTATATATCCACTGGAACGAGCCAGTCGGTAAGAAGTTCTAAGAGAAACACTGCTAATGATTCGAGGAGTTCATGGCGGGATCTATGCGGAACGATTAATATAAAGCGTTAGTGACTGTATCCAGTATAATATATCTGATAAAAGATACCCCCGATGCCAGACATGGCGTGTGACAATAAAGTGATTCAATGATCTCGTCGCATTTCAATCGCAGCCACCTTTCACGATTCACACAGGCACACACTTATATACACATCTCTACACACATAAGAGACACACGTGCATATAGACATGTATATTTTAACGCAAAAAAACGAGAATGGTTTTTTTTGTAAATTACGAGAGACAACACCGCCGGAAATTCAACGATCACGATGTGTAAAAGAAAGTATCTCATCGTTTTCCGATTACTCGTTACTCCGCTGTTAATTGATAATGTCAGTAATATTTTTAACAAAATAAAGCTACCTTATTCAAAGCTGACAGCATGACTTTTCAAATCGCGACCGAAGTATTGAACTTTCCCCATTGTTTAAACTGTGGTATCATTAGTTAAATTACACTGACGATGAGACCATAAAGTCGCTTATTTTATTAAAAGAAAATGTTCAATTTCGCGAGGTTCCTTCTTTATCGCCTGTTAATACGAGTAGTGTCCCTTCATCAGTTTAGACACCGTTACAGTCTCTCGTCGGTGATTTAGATTTGCCGCGTAAGCGAACACGGTTAGTTCCAATTCCTCTCACCAGGGGGTACAGTAGGTACGGAAGCAGATCTATGTCGCAATGGCGCTGCGAACGCCATAGTGACCGGAGGCGCGCAAAATATTCGGTGCGTTTGCAAATCGTAAGTGTAATTATATAAACAATTTGTCGCGTAGTAATGAATGTTATTACGTATTAATTAGTATATACGGTAATCGATGAAGCGTACAGTTAACGGGAGTGTTCGCATTAAAAATAGCGTTCTTTCTCGAGAGAAAAGTTGTGTATCAACATTTTCAAACGACGCGACGCGACGGTCGCACGAATGAAGCACATACATAATAGTCCATAATAATTCATAATAATCGGCGTTATTACGTATTAATTAATATATACTGTAATCGTTGGAATGTACACTTAACGAGTGTTCGCGATAAAAATCGTGTTCGTTCTCGAGAAGTAAAGATTGTACGTCAACATTCGCAAACTACGGTCGCACGAATGAAGCATGGGCGTCACCCAGGTTAACATCATTGTCATCTTTCTTCGCAAAGGTTTGTGCAAATCTTTAATGTGAATGTTATTATCATTTGTATTTGAAGCTTCTTTTATGTTCATATATATTATTGTTGATATATGTAACAATCTGTATTGAACACATAACCATGCTTGAGGTTATTCATTATACTGTTGGATGCAGGAAGGAATTCAGTATTATAACCAATTTCGAGAAAAGCATATTTATATTTATTCTTGATAATTACAATCAGAATTATGTAATGAATCAATCAGTTTATAAAATTTACTACCGTTTATAAAATCTGTTAATTTTGATGATACGATAATAAAATTTAGAAACTATATACGGAAAAGAATAAGGTTAATCATGTGTTTACGCAATAAGGTTCTGAGGACCTTGAGAGCCTTCTTGCAGCCAACAATAAAATTAAGCTATCACAAAGCAGCCGGTGGTTTGTAGGAAGACCGTGACGCGGCGTCGCGTCGCGTCGCATCGCGCGGTTTCGCGTCTCCGTAGCTTTATTACCGTAATCCCATGGCGTCGATAAGCCCATTACCACGTGTCTCAACCGATACCCGGCTAATGTATGCGCCGTAACGTAATAAAAATCGACTTACACGGAGCTAGAGGCTCGTCCTTTTGCCACGTAAGCGTGTACCAGACGCTTTCTATCGGGCGGCACGCTTTTAGGTGTCGCTAAAAGTTTAATCAAAGTCAGATTAGCCGGCTCGACGACGGGGAAAGGGGACCCTGGCGTTTTATTAAACGGGACTTGATTAGGGGTTGCCGGGATCCTTTCAGAGTTTGTTTTCGACTGGTTTTCCGCGCAGCCGCCTTCATTACCTGCCTGTTTCTCGTGTAATTGACGCGATCGTTTAGGGAGAGACGAAAAACCGGCTACTCTGTTTACAGTCTCAATGCGTGTTCGTACATAACCTTAAGAAATGATGAATTGTTGATCTCAACGTTCCAGATTGATACCTTAAATCTATTGTTAATTGAGATAACGTTGAAAGATTTACCACTGTGAGCGAATGAATTTTCAAGACTCGTTAGGCTGGTTAACGTAAGAGTAATAACAATCGCTTAAAGACAGAGCGATTAAGGGGTAACTTGGCATGAAACACGTTTAAGTATCTATCTACATTGGATAGTCGAAAGTGATTCCAGTCTCCTGGTAATCCCTCTAATCCCGAGAGTATTCGTGAGCGGTACCCTAAGCGAACGTGATAGCCACACTGCGATTTTTACATAGGTTCTTCTTGCTGTAATAATCGGTTTCGTTTGGATCATTCTGCGAGCGCGATTCTTATTTACTAGCAACTATTTACATATAGGTACAAGTACATCGTTGAAATTAAAATGCTTATTATTTAACTAAGATTGTGCAATTTAAAACTTTGCTTCAACGTATCTAATACGCAATATATCGATTAAAGGAAACATTTTTAGCACCTTATGTATTGATTAAACGAAGGTAGCTATACGCTATCGGATATTAATTCTTCCTCCCGCACGGTACGATTGATCAAAAACGGAGTTGAAAGGGAAGCACGGAGAGGGGGTGCGCGTATTCAGGAAAGAGACGAATGTCACCAGGGGTTCGTCGTAACCGCGCGCAATAACAACCCTCGGAAAGCTGCGGGGGCAAAGGTTGACGCAGTGCCGGCAGTGTTTACGTCGAAGGGGCTACCCTCGACTCCGCCCTCCGCCACCCTCTTCGTCTCTGGCTTAACGCTAATGAATCTGATTTGCATCTGATCCCGAGCGATCTTCGATCCTCCTCCCTCTACCCGCCAATGGATTATTTAAGGATGCTGCCGTGCATCGTACGGTTCTGTGATTAATTACGCGATATCTGTTACCGACTTGCTCCGTTTTACGCCTCGAACGGTTGCTGATGATTTTGACGAACGATCCCTTTTCTCCGCGTCGCTATTGGAACACGGTGGCAACGACTAAGGGACGAATCTTATTAGTTTTCGAATTTTAAACACTAAAATATTGCTCTGCTAGAGGATCGGGAGTGAATAAACTGTTCTGGAAACGATAAATGATAGTCGAAGATACGAATAGCCAGCACTAGAAATAACATGGGATTTTTGTTCCAAGCAATGAGTCAATGATCTTGATACCGAGAGAATTGTTCTGTTATTTGACGGTTTACAAATGACGCCACTTTATACGAATTTGCCTGGATAGTATCCAGAGAGACAAAAGAATCTCGTAGTTCGATAAATCTTTAGCCGATCGAACGAACCCATTTGTTGCGCGAAACAAAATGAAACAGAGCGTCGATTCCGCTGTGTTCGGTGCCGTTTAAAGAAAGCTCCGGCTCGTTGAGCGTTGAATTACGAGGGAATAATTAGAGAAAAGTAAACCAACGATCGATTTATGGTCGTGTATCGGATTCCTCTATTCTCGGCGAAGATTTACGTAAAAGATCGACGAGGATCCTGCGGGATTCGTTACCTCTTTTCCACGGCAGGCTCGTGTTTAATGGGCGGGGTGCCCTGCGGATACTTTCACGCTGCCCCGCCTCCAATGCTATCGCGTTATTGCTTGGACACGAAAACTTATCGTTCCTTTTTTTCCCCCTCGTGTTTTCCTTCGTTGGAAGAACCACAAGATACTTACGCGTGCGTTTTCAACATTTTCTCGAGCTTTTTACCCCGGCTCTGGGACGTTACAAGAAACTAGCAATTACGCGAGATAAGGTTCGCTGTTTCTGAACGATTAACGATGTTGTTTAGCAGTTTCTTTGAGGCTGAGCGCAAAAAAACTCGGGGTAACTTCTAGCTAGGGTAATTAAGCGATTCGAGCCGATTATCGTTGCCTTCGTATCGTACTTTCTTATACACGGAAGCTTTTAACACTTTGACTGCTCATATGTGGTGGAACAGTTTTATTTAGCCTTCTTAAATTAGCTCGTCAGCCATTAAATTTTTAAAGTACTGAGAGAAAAGAGACTCGAATTTCAAACAATTTCGAATCTCTAGGCATTCGATCATTCGTGATTTAATTAAAAACGAAGCAGGGTTACGGGTGTTCACCCTTCTCACCCTGTTCTTCATTTATCGTTCACCCTCGGGTCATACTTTCGATATTAACGCCACCGCAATGACGCCAGGGTTCGGCAGCACGTGCTGCTTAGGTAACCACTCGAATCATAACGGCATGAAATAATGATTTAACGTCTGATTAAATTTTAATGCGCTACGGTGTTGTCCTCTTCCTTTTCTTACCCTGTTATTGTTTAACCAGTTCGAGGGTAAAGTTCGAAACTCGGGAGTCCTCGCTCGGTTACGAGGGTCGGTTTGTTTCTTCCAAGCAAATATTTGACCCCGTTACGATCCGGTTAATCCAACACGATCAACCGTGCACGTGTTGCTAAATGGTTTTTCGCGTTAAACGATCGTCGCGGGTTTTCACATGTATTTACCCGTGGTTTACCGATTTTATTTGCTTAGGACCAGGGGACAAAGCGTCAGAACTGTGTCCTGGTTAAAAAGCAGAAACGCAGAAACGTCATTCTTGTACTCGGTATAATACGATGATTTTCCGACGATTCAAGGGTAGGGAAGAGGGATTTCGGGAGCACGTGGCGGAGGAGAATGAATTAAAATCGCGCCGGGTCATCGGCGAATATTCCGCACTTAATCACGCCGCTTGACACGCGGGATTACATGGTGCATATAATCGGATAGAATGTCGTATATTAGATTTCCTGGAGATTGAAACGATTATCGCGTGGTAACCCTTGATTTAACCCTCTGTCAATCGAATCAATTTTGAATAATTTACATAAAAACCGGGAAATTCTTTTCATATAAGAGAAATTAGTCGAAGATGAATGTAGGACAGTCAATATTATCGCGATGATACATCGTGTTTGGCGACCGGTTACCGATCTTTACGGATAAAACAGTAAAAATCTCGTATATTCAACGTGCAACCGCGTTCAAAGCGATCATTGAAATTTATGGGGTACGGATACATAGGATTCCGTGAAATCGGGATTAAGAAACGTGCTTTAGAAGCACGGGTCCGTGGATTACGCGTGTTTACCCGGATTTTTGTCGAAGGGGCGCGCGTTCCCATATATATCCCGTGTCTCCTTTCACGCGCCATAAATAAGTGGCCGCGACACGCGTGGACACGGTACCGCGTTTTTCCCCGAAAAACTAGAATTTACCGAGCTCCTATAACGATCAAGTTGTCACGGACGCGATCGTTCCTTTCCAGTTCATAAAGTCCCTTCTCGTACAATGGTGGCTAACTAGGCGTGGTTCGATTTGAAGAGGGTCACCTGGTATATTATGCGATTGCTATGTGGATGCGTGTGTGTAACGTGTTCTAACACCCAGCAACATCCTTTGACAGGTTGATATCCCGGTTACACGAATGTAACGCGTGTCAAGAGCGACAGGGCTCTCCTCTGTCACGACCATACACCCTCGTAAGAAACCGAGGGGGCTGCAACTTGCAGCTGATCTATTTCATTGTTTCAAAACTATCGAAATTATATAGTTTTTAGTGTATTTAAAATCTCGGATTTCTTTATTATTTGAGTAGCTAACTGGTGAATCAGGTACACAAAAAGGAGCGTCATTCGATTTAAAGTGGAAATCGTTTGGTAATCCACAGGGGTCGAATCCGGGTGCCATTCCGTCTATAGGTCCTCCTATTTTCTTGGTCACAATTCCTTATCTTGGCTCTCATCTTTGCTATTCCGCGCTTCCCGACGCTGCTATATACATTGACAAGTTTTATCGGAACCTGGAGATCTTGATAGCAGGGTAACGTATACGCGTGGGCGTGGCTCCTTCGAGGACCAAATTATAGTCCTGCGATGGACGCTAGAATGTTTGGACGGCGTCAGGTCCTAACCGCTCCCTCTGTCTCCGTTTTCTCTCCCCTTTCTCGACTCCCTTCATCCCTTCGAGCTTCTTGCCAAGCATTTCTTTTTCGATGACAGGTGTTCTAGAAAGAGTTCAAGTTTTTCTTTATTTTTTTCTGTTAACAGATTTTTCTTGGTAAAATTAAAAATTCTTACAAAGATGCTTAGTTTTGGTGATCCAAAAATTTGTTTTATTTTTAGAAACTAAAGATACTAATGTTCATTAATATCAATGATATCTTTATAGTATACCTCTGTTGTAAATTATCACTAGCTGAAGCAGACGCGTTACAAAAACCAGCTAACCTTGTTGCTGTTCGCTCGATGATGTTTCATTCATCGAGACTGTCTATTCAAAGAAAAACTCATGACACTTCATCGTAAACCATAAAGGTAACCGCGATGTTCTCGATTGAATCGTCGGAAGCTTAAAATATGTGCAATCGTGTTCGCGTTCGTTAATTATTTACACTGCAAGTCGACGGTTTCTCTTCATTGAAGCATCTCGTAAAGGAAATGGGCTTGAACGTGGGATCGTGAAAAGGGGGCTAAGAAGGAACCTGTTAAGCAACACCGAGTTTTGGCAAACCTTTCTAAGAAGATTAGTGCCATCGGTATTACCGCGACTCGTTCCATCTTGATTCGACGGCTTGCAAGCGATTTCGTATTATTCGCTTTTGGATTAGCTCGAGCCTGGCAGCCGTGAAAAGCCCTTTCGAGCCAAGTAACCGATCATCCGAGTTTTCTTCTCGGGGCTCTATCCTCGAGATCGTTGTTTGTTGCTTCTGCGGATTAAGCGCAACCCTACTGGGTCCTTGGATACGCGACGACGAGGACGACTTTGTCGCCAAGCCAAAGAAACGATCCTTTCTAGTTTTCCACGAGGATGACCGCGATGACGGAGCAACGTCTCGAAACCTTCCCTCTGATCTTCAATACCGAGAAACTAATATTTTTAATGCTTTCGTTTTAAAATACCCTTATTTATCCTCTTTTCAAATCTGCCCACAAGTTGCAACCGAATTCAAGTCTCACAAATTGTACTTATTTTATTCTTGCTTTGCGATTAAAATTGCGTGGGAAATACATCGATGCGTAAGTTGAACGAGGACTACGGTGTCCATAGAAATGGTTTGGCGAAAAACAGGATGGCCGAGGAGACCACCCTAAGGTATGCGGTAGCCAGGCTATTCTTGTATCTTCACAGGATCTCTGTGTTTTACAAGCCAGCTGTGTATCGTCCTGCATTGTTGGTCCTTTATGTACCGCGTGCTCGGTTCACTCGAGTAGTTTCGTTTGACTTCGCGCTGTTTGTTCGAAACGAACCTTCCCTGTGTACACCGTCAGGATGATCCTGCTCCTTGTCGGCTTAGCTTTCCAGGATTACAAGGATTTCTTTATTTTCTTACCGCCTCTATCTGTCTCTCACTGTCTGACCTTCCTCTCCGACTCTCGTCCCGGATGATCGACGTCTTCTCGTCGCGACTGACCCTTGTTAGCGTCGCGAGAACAACAATGTTCCACGCGTTTTCACTCTTTTCGCCTAGTTTAAGGATAGGAACCCTTTCTCGTAATTATCCATTGCAAGTACACTGATAGGTATTTGAAATATTTGGATATCTATCTTCAATCTCCGTTTAGATATAAATAAAATAAAATCCCAAGGATCGTAGAACAGAAAAATTAGTCGTCAATTATACTCCGAATATCAGAAACGATTTCCATCCACAGCGGTGTGCCAGGGTTAAACATCGCAGATTACGTCGCGACGATTCATAATCGATATTCGTTCGTCGAGAAAAACAAAACGTGGCTCGAGCGCGGTTACAAGGGTTTCGTTAACGAGGCGATCGTAAAACTGGCCGCGGTATTTAAATTTCGTGTAGTTTTTCTTTTTTTATTTTTTTACGGCAAACCGAGTGGTCGGGTTAAACGGGCAATGATTCACAACCGGCATTACCGTCAACGTCGATCCCGTTGCCATTTATATAGCCGAGGAAGAAAGCGCGCGGCCAACCGAAGGGAAACGGAGCAGAGTTCGAAGCAGCCGGAGTAGCCTGAACGCGAGATAAACGAGAAACATGCAACAGGCGTGAATGAAACAATGGCGGGCCACGTGTCGACCAATCGGATGAGAGGCGAGAATCCTACCCTGGCAATACGATCCGCTGTTAGGTGGAGCCTCTCGCGGTAGATCCGCGCGATTCCTCGATCGTTCGGCTGGTTAGATCGTCTGTTGGCCCCCAGAGAGGTAACCGGGGATTTTTTTATGGAACCACGATTCCACTCGGTCGCGACAAGTTTTTTCTTTTACGCCCATTTAACGAAGCCTCAGAAATACATACATCGATTCCTCGTCGAGAATGCTTGATCGTCGGAATACCCGTTTGTTTTACCTTCTTTCATCTTCTGTTTTTGCGAGGATCCTCTCAGAGTCTGGTTAGTATTTACGGAATCTCTAAGATGCTTAATGGACAAGATCCATTTAAGCTCATTAACGCGTTAAGGCTAATCATCAGGATTAAGGAATAGTTGGCTATCTTTTATTTTTAAAGATTAACTACGTCGAGACTAGATTCGGTAACGGAATTAAATAACGCGGATCGTTCGGTATTTGCAACGCCCATATGCTTTCCATACAAGTTAGTGTAATTGATCGACACGAAGGGGGTACATCACCGGCAGATGTTCGAACGCACCCTCGCCTCCATCTGTCTCTTTCATAAAGTTCTGTTGTGCGGCGCGGGGCCCGCGTTCCTCGCACCTACATACCTGTGCGAGTATACGGGGTGATTGTCCACTTCCATTCACGACTGATAGCGTAATTGAATTTCGCGCCGGAGAAGGAAACGTTGACAGGATGAAAAATTGCGTTCGACCCGGAAAGAATCGGTGGATTGACCGACCGAAGGTGGAATTCGTTCTTTGAGGATAAAATAATTCGTATTACTTATGTGTCTTCTTCTTTTCTTCTCCGTTTATAATACCTATCCTAAAGTGCAAATATTTTCTGAAACTGACACAAATATGTTTGTACCTTTCTCAATCGAAACTTTATGGAAATCACTCTCTGTTACAAATAATTTATCAAATTCGAGAAATACAATAGAGGGGATGAGTTTCAAGTGTTTCCAGAAAAATCACCCGTTACATCCGCGTAAGTTCGGTAGAATGTCTGGTAGAGTCAGAGAACGGGTGGGTACTTCTAATAGGCAGCTTTATACAAGAGATTCAGGCTCGCTATGGGAGGCGTGCCGCGAAAATTGCGTCATTTTTCACGCTCGCGAGTGCTCCCTCGGACCGATTCAAAAATTCGCGCGCCACCTTTGGCCATGTAGCGAGAGAAGGATAGGCGCGAGAGGCGAACAAGTACACCGTGGGAGAGAGATAGTACGGTAGGGAGGATGTGTGTCTTGCTGCGCCCGATAAGATCGCGAGTTTATTAATTAAGCTCTGCCGTCGGACGAGCCTTTTGAATTCCGTTGTAAACACGCATTGGGCCACCACACTTGTCGGATATTACGCGTGGCCGGTCGTCCGGAGACGACTCTAATTCGATGATCCGCGCGAGGATTCGAGTAAAATATATACAATGTTCAATGGCGAACAGACGTTTGCGATTTTTTCATTGTTAGGATAGCAAATGATAGAAAAGACGCGATAGTTGATGAAATAAAAAGAAAATTCGATGGGTGATTCGAGGCAAGGGAAGAGAAGACTGGATTGTTGTTAGTACAAAAGGGCAGCATAGATCTCGAAAGGAAGAGTATAAAAGCAAAATATCGCGTCCCGGCAACGGGGCCCGCGATCATTATGAATTTCGTGCGGTTTTTTCGGCGTAATAAATTAGTCAAAGACGCTCATCAATTTTATGACGGGAGTCCATAGAGAACCGATGCCTAAAACATCGTCCGTCCGGCACTGCCAGTTCTGGATAGCCTCGAACGTGATGGATGATTTTTCTTTCCCATATACACATCGGTAGATAGGCTGTCCGACGTATCTCTCTACTGGCTCTCTCATTTGCGCTCGTACCTACATACGTGCCACCCACGTGCGAATGTGTGCGCCGCACGCGTTTTCGCAGGCACTGCAAGCCAGACACATTAGCGAGAGATTCATGAATAATAAGTGGTGCGAACCGAGTGTTTTGATCCCTGTACAGGTTACCTGAGAATAAGATAGTGTAACGAGATCTTTCCCCCTCGTTTTCCATCCGTTAACACTTTGTACCTTACGAAATGATGCATCAGGAAATAATTTTATTTGATCTTCCAAAGTGTTAAGGGAAGGGTTACTTTCTTTTCCACGCTACAGATAGTTAAACGATCAGTTTACCAAAAACAAACGAGATCGTCAGAAAAGCATCCCCATGGAACTCAAGTTTCACCCTCGATCCTCTCGAAAATCCTCCGGCATCGTGCATGGTGTTTGAAAAGGGAGGAAGACCGTTGAGGCGGTTTCGCGGAAGCGATATCGTTACGTCGGGAAATTCGTCCCGAAAACTGGCTTTCCCGGAAAGTTTGAGGTAGAAACGCGTTCCTTCGTTGCTCGGCGAAATTTCATCGGTACCCGAGAAGGTCTCCCGAGAGCTAACTTCGGGTCCTCGTGGGTCCCTCACAAGCACAATACGTCTCATTATGTTATCCGCGCATCTCTCGACACGGCAATTTATCATTCCTCCGCCCGTATACCGATATATCGATCCTTTCCTTACGTGTGTAAAGCACGGTGCCGTTCTGGGCCGGTCCTGCCGTCCCATCCCCGATGCTTCTCTTCCTTTACGGCCCTTCTTCTCTCCTTTGTCTACGCGGCCACGGCCGGCTATATCCTCGTCGAAAGGAAGGCGTGCGCGTGGAAAACAATCGGGGACCAGCGATCGTGCGAACGATACAGGATCGCTTATGAATATTGTATCGCGAGTCCTTCGCGTGGCCCTGAAATAACCATCCTTTCTGCAGATCGACGTATGCAAATACGATCTTGCCTTTCGACGAATCGATTGCACTTGGAACATTCGGAAACATTTGGAGTATACCTCGATGGGTGGTCCGCTGAAAATTGCTGATCAATAACATTCGAATAACATACGCGTAAACACGCTAATCAGCATCGAATTATGATAGCTGCAATGAAAGTATCCTGGCCCGTATTTCGAGGATCGAGTCAAGTGATTTGGAGAAATTGTCCTAGTCACGCGTGAATACGAAGCTTCCGGTAATTAATATCGCGGTTGGATTGTGTAGAGTCGATTAAGGTGAGGCATACCCGCTGGGATAGATCGGTTACTCCGTCACTCTGGCAACACGAGTCTTCTTGCAAGCTTGACCTATTGTCTTCGGTCGGCAGGATGTTCCGCGTAGTTTGTCATCTTTAGACGCGCGACATCAAGCTTCTCGGTGATCGTTTCTGAATGTTAGCCTCCTGATGGCATCAAAATTGCCGGCAATCCCTCACCGCTACACGCGTTATTTATTGAATCTAGGATCCGCTCGATCCTAACACAATCGTCTTTGCAAAAGGAAATCTCTAAAAGTGATACTCGAATAGCATCGCTCTTTTATCTATCGCGAAAACAGGGTTGATTATCGAATGGTCGAGGTTAAGAAAGATGACAGGTTACGACACGAGAAGGTCGGGACGGGTCGCCTTGTTCCACGGACCGACGAGAGGGGTTTCCTTGGACAACGTCACCTCGAGGACGTGCTCAGGGTATTTCGGTGACGATGGGGGTGGGGAAAGAGCGCGGAAGAGAAAGCTCGTCGACGCTAGGCGGAGGGTGAGCGTAGGGGTGAAACGTAGAAGTTGGAGGTTAGGCTAGGGGTTAGATAGGATAGGGTGTGTCGTCATGGCTACGCAGCAGGGGGCGGGGCAATCGATACACCCTCGCTCACGCACTAAGCACACGCAATGCGTTTATAACACAATGAAACAATGACGACCACCGCAGGAAGGGAAGGACGTTAAGGGCTAGAAAGGGGGAGGCTTGGGGTGCCATCGCGCCTTCTACTTCCGAATATACACAGATATATTCCACCCTGTTGCCGATTTACGCCACGGTTGCTCGATCATCCACGCAAGTGTTTATTTCGGCTCGTACGCTACTGATTTTTCACTTTAACTCGAACCCGATATGAATAATTCTCTTCCGATCGTGGGAAGTAGACAGGGAACTATTCGAAGAAATTTCGAAAGCGTGAAACACAGGGAAAGGTGAGCAAATTGCCTATTAAAGACAAAAATCGATTCGCGTTTGTATCCATTTCGGTCCATTGTCATTCGAAAGGGCGAAAATCTCGGTGCCTGACCGACGTTTCCAAGATTCTGTAACGAAATCGCATTGTCCAACACGAGAACCCCCTTTTCCCTCCCTTTTCTTTTCTTTTTTCTGCTCGAACCACGAAAGATTTTCGAGCGTTTCATCTAGCGGCGTCGCAACAACAATGCGAACCGGCCAGCTCCCACAATAGCCGGGAACCACCTGAAAACTTACTCGGACAATGAGCTCTCGAGTGTATCATTCGGTCGTTTATGAGTTCGCGCTCGTTTATCATTAGACCAACAGACATTTTTCATCGGCTCGGCCAGAACGGATGGCGATTTCGAGAGGCTTCTTTCAGCTTGCTCTTTCGAAATCGTTTCTCCTCTATCCTTATTAGATATCGATCCATTAGTATCAGAAATAATCATTAGTATCGAACAACTTCACAGCACTGATCGACAGGTTCGCGTTTTTTGAATCGAACAAACGAATCGACCCAGAGATTTCCAAAGTTACACTTTCTCAGACAAACATCTCGCTGGGACGAAAAGTATAGAGTACAGGTAGCGAGCCGAAGCAACGCGAGTTCGTGATTCATGGGGCAGTGTAGCATAACCGGTGATCACGATAATAGAAAGCTATCTGGTAAGTCTGTTAGATTGACTTGAAGATATTTTCGTACATATGATAGGATCGCTTTGGTACCGAGCGAGGGAAGAGGGGATTTGACAAAGGACAGAAGGTGCAAAGGTGA